GAAGAAGAAGGGAGAAATGCGAATAGGGATGGAGAAAGAGTACAGTATGGTAATCGTATAAATATAGACAAAAAAGCAGTAACTTGATAGCAACACCATAACGATTTGGAACAGGTCAGAGTAGTACAAACATGATAGATGATTGTTACAAGCTTTGATGTTTATTGACTATACGTGTGAGATTAAAAGGGGCACTATTTTGGAATCTCTTAGACCTGCACGTAGATTCTTGATATATTTTGACATTTGGTATATTGAATTTGTTAGTTTTCTTTGGAGGTAAGCACGATGCACACAACATATTTTTTTTTCAAATGAAACAGCAACGTTTTTAGTCAGTTTTTCTCGACGAGTCAAAAGAGATCGCAATTCTAGTTTTGCTAATGAATTGCCATATTAAGAGCTCAAATTTGATCTAACAATTATTTTACATGCTCTTTTTGTATGCTCTCTATGTCATGAATCTATCTGATAGTCAAACTTGCAGAAAAAGAGGTACACAGCCTTATACAAATATCCAACATATACGGTTAACAGATCATAAACAGCCAGGTTGTAAGTTTTTCATCTACGTAGCATGAATTATTTTCTATTACTCTTCTTTCTAATTACAGTTGCATGAGTATTCCACTTAAGGTCACTTTGAATTCTGACACCAAGAATCTTAACCATATTTACCAGGGGTAAAGGTCTATTATCAATATTTATAAGATGATGACGTGGATCCTAAGCAAATGATTGGGTAAGAGCGTACACGTGAGCAGGCATGTATTTGCCTAACGCGTAATTTGGATGATGACCGGTCATTATCCAATGGTAATGACCGGTCCTTATCAAAATCATGTTATAAAACGTCATTTTATAAAAACAAATAATGCACATCATTTTGTTCGGTACCTTCGAAACAGTCCAAACACCCTCGGCCTCGGCTATCGCCCCGGGCGCGTTATTTTCTTCTGCGGCACAGATTGGGGCCTTTAAAAAAAAAAGAGGTCTTGATTTAACCCTAACCCTAACCCTAACCCTAACCCTAACCCTAAATTTTCACATAGGCTCAACACGCACCTAACCCCAATCTGTGCCGCAGAAAAAAATAACGCGCCCCGGGCGTGTTAGACTGTTCCAATGGTACCTCGTGTGGGTAATTCTTACTAATGGCCTCATTGCAGTGTATTATTTGTATAATATATAACAAAGGTTGTTGTATTGTATATACAGTTTGTTTACGTTTAATTTCATATTATTTGATGAAGTCCATAATTTAAGCAGTTCCAGTTGGCCTTGTAATTGGGATGTTTGTGTACTTGGTCTACATTCTACTTGTGTTAAAAATAATATACGTATTCAAAATACGGTATAGAAGAATATCTACAAGCATCGTTAATGATTACAATAAACACAACTAGTAGATTCTAGAACAATAACCTCCTGGACAATCAGCCCCGGCCAATTAACAGCGGGACATTTACCCCAAGGAAAATTACCACCAGAAAATTACCTCCTAGGGCAGTTACCTCCCCCCCCCCCTCCCCAAGTACAACAACCCCGAGTACTTTACTAACCGAAAAATTACCTCCCGATAAATTACCGCCTGCCGTTCATTAAAGGGAAATTCCAACCTAATTATAATTTGGTCACAAGCAGGTAAACAAAATTGGTGAAATTTTGAGCAAAATCCGATTAGAAATAGGAAAGTTATGATTTTTTTAAGTGAATCGCAAATTGGCAACACTGTGACGTATCATGCGAGCTCCCCTGCCAGTAGAACTACTTAAAACTTCAAAAGCCTGTATTCTTCTTAAATAAAGTTTCCAATCAATAAACATTCACGCTAAACTTGATAATTGCAAATATGTTTTTATACAACCCCTGGATAAAAACATATATTCCGTCATAAAATAACTAACATAATGAAAATGAATACATTTTCTAGGGGGTATAGTGCTTGGGGTGGTTGTCCTTATGGTAACTGTCCTCGGGGGGGGGGGGGGGAGGATTGTCCGAGGAGGTGATTTGCCGGGGGCAATTGTCCTCGGGGGCCAGTTGTCCTTGGGGTGGGGTAGTTTTCCGGGGGTAATTTTCCAGGGGTGATGTCCTGATACGTCCTACAAGACCCGTTTACTAACATAATCAAATTTATGGATGTTTCTTTCCTGTGGACCTATAGTGACGAGTAATTCCATTAACTTGTTATTAATAAAAGAACTAAAATAGTCGGAATCTAGTCTGCATATATTACTTGTTGCTACGTCGGACAAGACTCGGGCAAGCGTTCAGGTTGTCAAGAACAACCTCTATTTAAAAGTATGCAAAACAATTCGAATATGTTAGTAAAGCGGTATATTACCTCCGAGCAATTGCAGTTATTCCCTGGCATAAATTACCAGTGGATTTCTGATATAATTCTATCAACCATTACAATTCCAACTCGGCCCATCGACAATCATTCAAATGGAAATATTCAACCTTTATCTAAACTCTGATTTCTGTAAAGAGTTTTAAGCTAGCATTACTTCAGTTTATTGTTACATCACGCATCGCCTGCGGCTTTGATCTGACATATGGTCGGCATGTAACCGTAAACATTTGCAAGCTATTATAATAAATCATTCTCATAATTCATTTTTTTTCTCCATGTTTTTCCCTCCACAGGGATTTTATTGATTTTCATTTGAAACAAATTAACAAATATATATATTCAAGGTAATTTACATTTATAACATAAATAAAATTGGCTTCTCAAGATACAAGTATTGTTGAACTGTTCAGTTAACAGAAAACTAACATTACAAATCAATAATTCATTTCTGATATTCATGAAAAGAAAAAAATACAGAAAAAATATCATTTTAAGTAAACAAATTCCTGAATTGAAACCATTTTCTTGTGAATGTATTATTTCTACAATTCGAATTTGCAATATACTTTTCGTTTTTGAAGTAATTTATAATCGAAACTCTAATATATTATCAAAGTCTGGCAATTGTTTCTTTATTTTGCAAGTATACACCATCTGTCGCACCACAATCAGTATACAATTCAATGCATAATTATTTGAACCTCTTAAACCAAATAATTTATCTCGGTTCCAGTATAAATCCAGTGCTCTAACCTATCCCAAATATGTTTAACATGCGTACAATCACATAGCAGATGTGTAACTGTTTCAATCTGTTCATTACAAAATGTACATTATTTTCTTGGGATTAAATTCCAGCCCCCCCCCCCCCCACTCAGTGTTATTTAAGGTACGCATATGCGTGTTCCAATCGACCCCCCCCCCCTTTTCAGCAAAAGTCCGGTGTGTAAAGTCAATACGGGTCGACATTTTTCTTTTGTTATACGAGCCTTTTTCAGCACCCCCCCCCCCCCCTTTTCAGCAAAAGTCCGGTGTGTAAAGTCAATACGGGTCGACCTTTTTCTTTTGTTACGAAAAAGACATTTTGGTAACACGCATGGGGTCCTTTCGTTCTCGGAGTGGGGGGGGGGGGGGGGGCGGGACTAAATTCATTTTAAATAGTAGATCGTTCGTATATAATATGCATTGCAAAACTTTAAACTGAAACCATCGTAAGCCCACATCAATGGTACAACTAAATCGAACAGAACAATATGTTTCCCAACTCTTATCATTCAGGTCGAAAATGCATTTCCATTTAAGAAAACTTTTACATAGTCCTTTTCTTCTCTTAAATAAAATTGCATAGATATGTGAACATCCTTTAATACGTTTCATAACATTGTATCTGGGAAAAAAGGTTGTGGCACCTTGTTAAAAATAGTAAAATTGTTAAACCCTTGTCTAATTGCATCGTATAATCCATGATAAAAAAAAGAAAATTTATTTGAATATTATACTTTTCTTGGAAGTGTTCCAAAAAGAAAAAAAATCACCATTTGTGTCTGAAATATCATTGGCAAAACAAACTCCCTTTTGACACAATTTTATATTATATATTGAGCTATTGCCTATTTAATGTAATCATTATTCCATAAGGGTTGGCAAGAAATGTTATCATAATGCATATACAAGAGCGTAAGTACTATAAGCCATGAACATTTCTCATTATTCATGTTTCCGTATTTTCAAACTATTATCTTCAATACTTTTTAAAAGACGCATACAAATGTTAATACTCCCTTAGTTATACAAAATAGATAATGTTATACTATGATACTGTCGAAGCCGAATAAATTAACATTACTATTATTTATTCATAACGTCTGGGACGAGAATATGTTATGATGTTTACATTCAGGGAGCACGTGTAATCCTAGGTCATTTTAGTCTGTACGTACAGACTAAAAAAAGTTTGAAAATAAATAACAGTAATTGTATATTGATTTAAACCAAAACCACCCAGACAATATTAGTATTGGCTATTCAAATTAAATTAAAAAATACTATTTAAGTGTAAATTTACGATAAAGATAATCCAAACTCCATAAGAAGTGTCAAGATTGTGGCATCTCTCAACAAGGGTTTGTGCATGCAAGCTACCGTATACATCTGTGCATCCAATATAATAGTCTGCTATTACAGGCTGTGCTTCGACATTTATAATAAAATTCAAAGATATTAAATGGAGCAAAACCGTTCATGATACAAGTATTTGTTGATATTTTTTGTCAACTGCGTGCTTGAGATGTAAGCCCTAATTAATTATTAATATTAGCCATAAAATTGATAACTAAGACACTGTCGGAACTTTGCAGAACAGTTCTAGCTCGTTGTAGTTTGAAGTTTGAACTGATTTTTTTTAAGGGTCAAAATTGACTATTTTTGCCTAAATAATTTACATGGCGATATATACCCTCAAAATACATTAACATTTGCGTTTGTAAACCAGACCGCGTAGGTCTTTGTACCCTATAATGAGCGCAATGGGTGATATAACAGTGTGCTAAATATATTTGGGTCTGCTAAGTGTAAGACTATTTATAATACCAAAGACGTCTGGTACAGTTCAGCGTCGTTTCGATGAACACAACAAAGGCAAGACGTACCTTACCGAGAATATATATAGCAGTATTTTATTGAATCTGTTCAACCGTGTAGGCTTTCTGATGAATGTTGTTGTTAATTGCATTCTATTGCGACATAGTGGGGATTCCTGTGCACTGGATATATAATGATTTAATATAGAGCTGCTCTACATTACACAACGTGTGACTAGTAATAACAGTAGACTCTACAGTGCATGAGTATAGCGTAAGAGTCGCTCAGTTTGCAGTCTCTTCGCTGGTTGCAAAGCCAAACAGTTTGTCGGAAATCAGGTTATTCTATCCTGTCTGTTCAGACTCTGGGAGTGTGAGGACGACCTGCCAGAGATATTCCGCATTATTACTGACCTTGCATATCAAACTGTCGAGATTGGGTGAGTTGAATTGATTTGCCCTCAGTTTCATATTTCACGTGTTGAAGTTTTTTTTTTAAATCTTACTTTGTTGAATCAAATGCCCATTTCTCTCAACTATACGACACATGGATACCAGAACGTCGAGGGGATATACAGCATGTATTTGCACCGTTGGATAAAAAAAAGGTGTAGAAGAACTTCTGTTCTATGCTAAACAAACCTTGGCGCTTTTCGGAGGGAAAACCCATTTTATTTTTAGTATTTTGTTCTTTCAAAACAAAACATTGCACTGCTTTGATCGAGTTATGTTGGCATGGTTAGTAAACTTAGTATCTAAAAAGTAAAATCACAATACAGTTCATTATTCATACCCTTGCCCAGTTTTTGTAATTTTTAAAGTATGCCATATTTGTCCCGATAATGTTTCAACAAAAGGCTCTAATCTATACCAATCTACTTCAACCAATAAATATTCATTCTTGAGTTATGCAATTATGAAAGCACAAAGAGCATCAAATTTACAAAGGTATGAATAATTTATTTGTTAAGTACATGACCAATCCGTTTTAACCCTGTGTAAATAATTGTAGAATTTATGTTGATGCCTTGTTGTTCAATCAAATGGCGAGGAGATCGATCAGTTCACTTGTATTGATATACCTATCCTGAGATTATATTGTGCAGTCTTTCATTAGGAATCTTCGTAGTCCCTATATAAATTGTAAAATAAAGGAGAAAATATAATAATATGAAAATATGAAAATATAAATACAATATTTGCTAATGCTGTCAGGCGTAATGCACTGAATTTGCTACTGTTTTTTTGAAGCATTAAGGTTCATCGTCGGATATACATCACTTCTATTCATCTGTCTGTCTTGTTTAGTTTTTGTCTGTGTTTCAGTCCTGTTGCTTTTTCAAGATTCAAATGAGGTTTTATTCACGACTATTCAGAAAGTCCAAAGACTAGAAATGCAAGTTTACATCAAACATACAATCATATAAAAAAAAGCATTCAAAAACATATATTTATAGTTATATAAAGAAAACATAGCAAATGGGCAAAAAAAAATATATATATATATATATAAATGTTTACATCAAAACATCAAAGCGGTATACTCTTGCTCGTACTTTTTTCCCGTTTCTCTAGTTTATAGCCATTATTTAGTAGTCAGTAGATTTTATTATACTTATTAATGTTTACATTTTCTCAGTTGTTTAGTTAATAGTTTAGTTTGTAAGCATTTGAATGTATTCATTATTCTTATCCGACGAGTTTGTTCTTTTAGGACATACTCATAAGCTGCTCATGACAAACCTTAAATCAACAAGCCTTGATTTCAACCAAGGTCACCTCATCTTTCTATTGTAACGCCATATTCTGTTAAATTGTTATATTCATGTCAATATGTGTCTCATGAAAGAAAGATAAATAAACCTTGAACTTAAACTTGAACTTTATTACTTTGCAATGAATGCATTCGTGCAGTGATCCATGTGCAGTTCTGTTTGAATGGCTAATAATAATGAGGGGCGCCGTTGCACGAGCGTGACAGGTGTATCTATTTTATTCATTATATGCAAAAGCCAATCACAGAAGTCATAATGATGTATCAACATTAATTTGAATCATGCATGTGTCCAACACATGTACACCAACACAACACATTCAAATTCCTTGACAGTTCGCAGCCTACATGTACGTGTCCTACGTGTTCAAACTGACCTCCGTGTTGACATAGCCTCGTGTTTTATGACAACAAACCCAGCTGACTCGCTCATTTGCATACAATTGACGCTCAGGATTTCCCGTGCTGTCATCCGCACTAGTCTTTGGCCAAGGCATTTCCACTTCAATTAAATCCTGTCTGTGTGTTTCTACTTTCTAGTTGTTGTTTCTTGTATTATTGATTATTGGATTGTTGATCCCCAAGTTAATCATAAGACTAGTATATTTGACAGTTGACAGTAAAATACACTGTATTTTGTATTATTTATATGCATGAACACTACGTCGACTTAGGCTACTGTGTGAGGACAATTCCAGGTATTTTGTTATGCCTTATGGCTTATGGTGTGTTTCCGAGTGTAATGAGATGATCATACTTTCTATCAGAAATATCATTCTCCTTGGTATTTGGTTAATTTAATTGAGGGCGCTAATAAGGGCGCGATAGCTCAGTCGGTAGAGCAGTGGTCTCGTAATCCGGTGTACCCGGGTTCGAAACCAAACCGATGCGCTAGTGCCCTTTGGTAAGGCATTAATCCTCATGACCAGGTCCCTCGGAGAGGACCTAAAGCCGTCGATCGTCTGGTTGCTTACTTACAAGCATTTATGCTTTCTTTGCAGTCAGGTAAAATAACCACTAACATGATGATCTGATATACCGTGTGGTAGTAGCAGTAGAGTTTCAAGGGGGGCTCACGCCCCATCAAATATAATCAAGCCCCCATCAAATATAATCAAAGCCCCCTCCCCCTAGTTTTTTCTTTATTGTAAATGAATATAAGGTAGGCAAAATTAAAGTAGAAAAACGAATTCAAGAAACGTAATACATTGACTCTCCTACCCCCCCCCAAAAAAAAAAAAAATAATAATAATAAATAAATAAATAAATAAAACAATAATAATAATAATAAATGAAAAATACACGATATAATATATAAATGAATTAAAAAATACAAACAAATGATATTAAATTATTATTCTTCTAGAATCGCGACTGCGTACTAGCTTCTTCTGATTTGGTCGGTGTATTATAGGCAAAATATGTCTAGAACATTCATGCCCTTGATTATAGTTAAAGGGATAGTCCACCCCAGAAATTTCTTTATACTTTCGAAATCTCCATAAAATTTCATGTAAAATGATTTCATTTATTTTTTAGAAAAGACAGGATTTAGCTGTAGAATCACAGTTGAAACATACGCATTCTCCCTGTGATCGCCGTCACTGGGGATCGCCATTTTGTGAATTGACCCGCCGTGGTGTGACGTATCTTGCGAGCTGGCCGTTATTGTATTCTGATTGGTCGGTGAATTTGTACATGAATATTGATCTGTAAGATGCTTAATAGCATTTTGTTTTTCACTGTTAAACTTATATGTAATTTAAAAATAATTATTAAATAAACTTGTATTTATTAACGTTCACAAAACTGTTGCAATAAATTGTAAAAAGAGTCTACAAAACAAAACTCGTGTAATTTTTAAATTGGTTTCGTCGTCAAACGCGCACGCATGTACGTGCGTGCATCGTACATTTGTAAACAACTTTCGGCTTTCTGTATCTACGGAAAATCCAGATAGCTTCTTACTATCTTACTAAGAATATCGCGAATTTCACAACTTTCTTCAATATACGATCGACATGTCATCGTCTGATGAACCAGTGTGCTATGGGTTTGATCCAGAATACAGCGAAGCTGAATTGGCAGAAATGGAGGAGAGGCGAGCAGCAATTGATCAAGAAGTCGACGTCGTCCGAGAAGATGCTCCCGACCCATTGCCAGCCCCAGACAGGATGGAGAACAACGATTGGTGTCTGTGCGGGAACTGCCCGGTGATGCCGACGGTTGTCGAGTGTGTGTGCTGCCGTGAACTAGCAAGGTGCCGAGAGCTGCAGCCGGAAGGATGCGTTATTGACGCTCGAGAATTTGGTGAAGTCTGCCTGACAGTAGCAGTTCTTCGAGTATTCCACATTGCTCGACGGGATATAAGGGGTCATCGGCGCCATGTTCCAGGAGAATTGGAGAATATGTAAGTTCACTATCTGTTAATAATAATTCACTGTGGTCGTCACTGCATTGGTTGAAAATGAGTGGCAGGGCATTATTCACTTTGCAACTCAGTGACAGAGTGTCTCTGATTGACTGGAGAAAGATAGTATGAAGGGGGTTCCCCTTAAGCTACGCACTTTGTTTTCAAAGGCTATATAATTCAGTATTTTGATTAAAGTTTCTTACCTCTATTAGATGCTATATATTCTGAGGATTATTTATTGAGAAAACTACGACAGAAATTGTTGGTGAATATTCACCCTTTGACCAAATCAAATGGTACATTAAGCTACGCACCGCAGTTTAATACAGTAAATGAATGTAAGTTTTCACTGTCTGCCTCAATGATGCATACTCTTGATGAATTCATGAAACGATGAAAATACAAGCTAGAACTATATTGTAATGAATTGTATTGAACAATTTTTGTATTCTTCTCCATTCTGTTTCAGATCATATCGGTTTGCAGGCTACAAATTATTTACGTACTTAGTGCACGGTTACCTGGGGAAAGGAGTCCGGAGGGTTGTGCCAGCATGTGCAACGACAAGAATAAGACTGGAATTTCCTGAAGACCCTGCGGTTTACGTCGGATTCAAGTATGGTGACGATGGAGAAATAATGGAAGTGCCGGAACAACTTGCCATTTGATAACCGAACTTTCCTATATCATGTCTGTTTTATAGGATTTTTTTTCAGTGAGATCATTAGACTAGTTTTTTACTTATTAATAATCAAGGGTTCGTAATATGTATGTAATGATATTGATGATTCCGAATTTGGCTTTTAAATATGTGGAAAGAAACCAATTGTTGTTTAAACTGAAGTAGTTATGAGTATAAGATTGAATTTCATAGATTTTTTTTTTTTTTTTTTGTGGGGGGGGGGGGGGGGTAAACACTACATAATCACTTTAAAGGTATTTGGGAGTGACCCTATTTTCCAACCCCCCCCCCCCCCCCCCCCCTTCAAAATGTATGTTAGCAGTCTTTTGAGAAAAAAAATGCACCTTGTCTGCAAGTTGCCAACTTTCATTTTTTTTGTGCTTGTAAGATAATTGTTACAAATTTGTTCGGATAACCCCCCTTTCAAACATACCAATGTCCTTGTGTTTAAAAATACTGACTTAATACTTTAAGTTTGCTTTTTAAAATCTGGGGAAAAACAACTCCATAAATCTTTACTAATTTAGAATGAAATCATTCATTAAGAACACTTTTTGTTTTCTTTAAAATACGCGATTTCCTTACTTTTTTTCACAGGGTCTCTTTGCATTTATGTAATTTAAAATTTACCCATAATTATAAGTGTTACAATGTATTAGAAAGTTACGGTTCACTAAGCTGTGAGGTAAATTTAATGCCTTCTTAATTTTGTTGTTCAAGACAGATTTGATGCCAAAGAAACCTCCCCCACCCCCATGTTGCTAATTATTACACAAATGAAATGTTTGTTACAGAATTTTTTTGTTTAAGTGATATCACTCAGAACACAGGAGGAAAATGGTGTGAAATGTGTTCTCGCTGTTAAGGGGATTTTTTGTTGTTGTAATTTTTTGTTATTGGTTAGTTACATCTGCATTGTGAACACATTTATTTATTTATTTTTAGAACAGTGTTAGCTGTTGCATAACATCATTTTTTTATTTACTGACTAAACTGTTTAAAAGCAATAGTCCCTTTTATACTTATACCATTGTTGGGGTAGTTATTTTTTTCTTGGGAGTTTGTGAGGGAGGTGAGGGGGCTGATTGACATGAATGTTAGGGATAGTTAAATGTCAATAATTGGCGTGATTGAAATTATTTTATTTTATTCTTGCATTAAGACTTCAGTATTTGAAACAATTTGTTAAAGGAAGGAAAGTGAATCGGTGAAGAAAAGTTTTGTGTCTTTATGCATTGTGTATCATATTTTTACGGTACGTGTAATGTAATCGCTCTCTCCACCTAGTAAAGACGAAGATTAAAATGCAGAAGTTAAAGTTTGCACTGCATGTTATTAATATAAACTCTAATAACTCTTAGTTACTCCTCAAACATTTAACAAATTCCAAGGCAGGTAAAATATTACTGAAAACTATAGGCATTGTATCCATCCCCATTTGATATGTACCGGTATATGTTAAACATTTCTCAACTTTTTGTGTGAACAATTGTGTGAACCCATTTTTTGGTGTACATGTACTAGATCAGCTATTGTATGCAAACTCCTTATAGATCTGCATTGATTTGTAATAACATCCTTTGTTTCTTTTAGTTGGAAATATATGTTTTATGTAAGTGTACATGTATGTGAATCAATGTATGAACATGTAAGAAACATGATTGAACACGAACATTAAAACTATTATTTTGCAATACTGAAGAAAATTGTGTGCGTTATGTATTTATGTACAGTTTTGTCCTTATGTTCTTTTTTCAATCTCTCCGCTCCCCCTCTCTGAAATTCCCTCCTCTCTTTCTCTCTCTCACACTCGCATCTCTCGCATCTGTCTTTATCACATTTGTATCATGCACATATAAAAATGTCAGGACAGGAAGACAGGGATGCAAAATCATTTTCCCATTAAATTTCAAAAAGAGGATAATACCTGTAGGCGATATAGTTTGGACAGTCATTTTCAATAACATCCTTATTTTTATTTATTTTGTTTTGGTCTCCTGAATTTTCCTGCTTGACATGAAAAATGTACAGAATTTTTGTTTACATTGCATTGCATATTACAATATTTAATCAAATAAATCACACAGCAATTAAAATACTCTTTTTTTTCTTTAATGAGTTTTAAATGGCCAAAATATCAGCATACATTGACATTGTAGATTATTGGTACATGTATACATTAAATACATAGGTAAAGTGTTGTTTTTTTCACATTAGAAATATTGAGCCTGTGAATACTTGTGATACTTGTTATCTGAATTATCTGAATATCAGAGAATTTCTATACTGTTGCTTTATCTCAATTTTTGAACGGTAGTAACTAAAATATAGTTATAAATAGAGGATGAAGAAATATCATTTATATAATGATTTAGTGCCAATATGCCTTTTAATCGTTGCTTAATAAAAACAAAAATTGAAAAATTAAAAAGACAATTTGTATTTCAGGATGATTTCACTCGTACTGTAAAGAGTAATAAGAATATATTAAAAATACCTCTAAAAGTTCTGATCCAATAATATTTCATTTTGAAACATTAAAAACCTTGAAATTTATCAGTATTTTATGCTAAGTTGACCTTACACACCACTACTACTTTATACATTATGTAACTAAGACTATTGCCACTGATCTTTGTCCATGTGCAATTAAGTGTTGGGACCCAAGTATACATAATTGTAGCATGCTACTTTTGACAAATTTCTGTGTTACTATATAGTCATGATATAAATTAATTTCCAACAAACTGATACCACTCTTAAACCATAATATGTAATAACAGTAAGATATAACTGACTTTGAACCGTAGTTCTTCAAATGATAAAAAAAAGAAGAATCAGTCAAAAGTATAACACTATAAAGTTCTATACAATATTCATAAAAATATATATAATAATATGAGTATTATCTCATTATACCTTCTAGAACTACATGTAAGCAAAAAGAGAGCAAAGGTTAAGGCAAGGCTCGACACTAACATGCACCCGGTACACATGGGCCCCCAAAATGTAGAAAATTAAGCATGGGCTCCATGCACACAGACCCTAAGTATGTTAATCTGGACCCCCTTTGAAAAAAAAGTACTGTGGAACCCTGGTTTACGCCATTTGATAAGGGCAGTAACTGAAGAAGAAAAAAAATACATACCTCTAAAGAGGTTTCTGATATATATTCCATAATGAAAAACCCCAACATGGGAACTGAAAATGTGGCTTTTAAAAGGAAAATTCATGGTGGAAATACCATTCAAATAAGACGGAAGAGCTTACAACATTTATGGCTTAAAGCGTCTAAATCGCTTAGCCATGAGCTCTTCTACTGGAGGCCTAGGAATTGGTGCAATGTTCTGGGGCATGTTTGGAAGAGGTACTTCTTCAGTTTCTACCATGCCACTTTGCATCTGCAGAAGATGAACTTGCATGTCTTCCACATAATCATACTTCTTTTTCACCTTTTTGTCTTTAGTCGTCCAAACCTTCGATCTCTTTGAGTAACTGTGGAAAACCTGTGGTTCACCTTTGTTGTCGGCCCCTGGTTGTGGCTTTTTTACCATGGCATAATCCCGTCCTACGTTATTGTTATGATCTAGCACGGCCAACTGTAGCCGGGCTAGCATCACAGGATAGTCAAACTCTTGTCTCTTTGGAGCGTACTTCAAGAGCATGCTATGGAAAGACTCTAACTCCCCAGTCCTACAAGCTTTTGTGAGGCGTTTAATGTCCTTCACAAGATTTTTGTCAAAAAGAACCTCTTGGAGTGCTACGTGAGCAAGGGAATCTGGGGTCAACCACTTGATTTTTCTCTCTTTTGTTAGATCGATGGGGGCATGAGCGCACTCATGGTACTTATCCCCTGAGTTCCATGTGTGCACATTACACACATGGTGGGTAATTGACTGCCACATTTCTACTAGCAATTCCTCATCACCCTTGCAATTTGTGGCAGCCCACCACAAATGGTTAGTTACTGCCCTTATCCAAGGGCCCAACCCTTCATTCTCTTTCTGCTTGCTCTTGGCAGTCAGCTTCTTGACCACCGATTTGGTCATATGCCAGATGTCAAATTGGTGGTCAATGCGGGCATATTCTTCTCGGACTAGTTTTCTAATACCTGTATGCCTGTCTGTGGCCACTGTGGCAACACTGCAACCCGCTTGCAGAAGCTCATCCAAAGCCCGCTTAAACCCAAGTTTTTCCATTGCTACTGAGCTAGTGGCCTCTGTCACCTGCACAAGGGACATGACAATGATTTTGCTAGTTGCCATGTGCATGAACGTGTATGAGCAATATTTGGCATTGTAGCCAGGGGAATCACATCTCCCATCCCCACAAATGACCATCCCACGATCTCCACATAATTCTCTTCTAACTTGCTCAATATTTTTGTCATACGCGGTGTTTACTGCTGAAAGCACAAGCCTTTTTTGATTCTCATAAAATTTTGTTTTACTCAAATTTTGTAGATTGAGCAGCGACAGGAAAAAATCTATACTGCCTTGGGTCCCCCCACTGAAAAACGCACTTGACGTACACAGAATATTGCCGACTGGCATTTGCCCAATCCTGGGCTGTGACTCCCAACGGGTCACAGTATTGCCACAGACACAGACAGCAGATACTGCTAGGAGGGTGCCCACCACATTTTTCCTCAACTCTGTAATATGTCCCCCACAACATTTATTGCAATGGAGAGCATACAGTAGCTTCTCTAATTCAGAATCAAAAACCATGTATTTTGGATCACTGCAATACCTATGTACCTTATCGTCATCGCTTTCTGAACTCGATTCAGATGACAGGGTGTAGGAGGGATCACTTGTAGTTTCAGAAGATGTAATTTCAGTAGATCTTGAGGAGAATGACTGTGATGCCGATGGAGATGATGGCATTGATGGTGGCTCTGGAGAAGATGGAGATGAAGCTGATGGATTTGGAGAAGATGAAGATGAAGCTGGTGGATTTGGAGAAGACAAAGATGATGTGGGTAGTGGGATGTCATTCAGAATAACATCTTCAGGCATTCCTGGATGCTCTGGGGATGGAAGCGGACTTTCATGGAGAGGAGGGTGGTCATCTTTGGACGACTTGAAGTAGTTGTGGTCTTGCAGCTGTCCATCAAATCTGACGTGCTAAAAAAGGGACAATCAAAGGAATTGTAAATGAGGTATCCAAAGAAATTTTTGAATTATCTAAACATGATCTCTGGATTTCATAGCCATAAAAACCATTGTTTCTTCCACTGAAGAAAGCAAAGCAAAAGAAAAAAATTATTCCCAAAATTGTAAATGATGCCCAGTTCTCAAGAGTCTGAACCGGTTTCCCTTTTTCCCTTTCTTTTGTTCTCTGTAATTCAATTCAGAATGCAATTAATTTTTTTTATTTTAATAAATCAGCATTATTTTCCAAACATTACCCAAATCAATCATTTGTCTTCCTTGATCTTATATCTGTAACAGTGTACTTTATAAACTGAATATGAACATTACTGATACTAAAAAACAATAAACTGTAAACATTACCTTATTTCGAGAAGCAGGTTGGTCATTCTCTTCAGATGCATTTCTTGTCCTTGTTTGCTTCAGTGAGAGCAAGATCTGAATGAAAAAATAAAGGGGGATTATAGTTTACGAGCCTCACATATGTCTGTCTAATTGCTCATGTGAACAAGTGAATGAGTAAATTACGTAATTCATAATATATGTCCCCTCCGGAAGTGTAGGTCCGTGGAATGGGATTAATTTTTGTAATTTATTTTGAATGAATTTGCATAGATTTGCATAGCTAATAAATTTCAAAATTCTGTGTAGAAGTTTGGAAGCCGCCACTAAGCCCTAACAGATAAAACAAACAGAATCAAATTCCACTGTAAAACAGAGGAGAAGTAGCATTTTTTGTTAATTTTGCATTAATTTGCATAAATTTGCATTATCAATGAATTTCAAAATTCTGTGTAGAAGTTCTGAAGCCTCCATCAAGCCCTATTGGATAAAACAAACATAATCAAAATCGGCCAAAAAATGACAGAGAAGAAGCAAATTTAAATATTTTGAGCACACACAAACACACACACAGACACACCCACCTATACACACACACACGTACAGAGCCTGGTTCAGTCCCCTCACGAACTTCGTTCCTTAGGGACAATATTTGTTTGCACCACAAGCTTTCATGACTTTATAGCCTAGAATCTTAGGTATCTTTTTAAACAATTTTATACAATTTTGACCATCAGTTGCAATGCAGCATATTCCCTACATATTCCTTTACATAATTATATGAATAATTAGCAACAATTGCAAAACCATTTGAGGTATCGATTCAAAATTTCATAGACTAATAATAATAATAATAATAATAATAATAATAATAATAATACTGTATAGAGCAGTGTCTGTATAGCGCATTATACCTGTGAAAAAGGGGGCATATTCAACCCCCCCCCCCCCACAAAAGACCACCAAAATTGTAACCTGGCCTTTTTAGGGTTACATCAAACGAAATAAATTTGTAAACAATAGAAATATTACCTTGTTCAGGGTAACAGGCTGATGAGGTTCTAGGGTATCATGACTTGATTGGACTGGATACTAGAATAGAAATAGGAACAATTCAAAGTTAAATAAACATGAATTGGGGCAACTAAATATGTGTATACAGAATCTTTAATTCCAAATGACAGTTGTCACATTAATCATTACAGTCTTAGAGTACCAGCATACCATAAAGCAGACTGCATGTCACATATCACTAATCAAAATAAAATCTGAGTTATAAATAATCTCAACATTAATCTAGGAATTGTATTCTTTAAACTTTGGATGATAACTCATTATTGCATTTTCCCCCTCTCAATAAAGTAGACTTTGAAATGTACAATTTAAAGTGTCTATAATACATCCATACATTCAATTCCATTTTCTTAGGCACCTCAAGGCAAATAATTTTTAAAAGTTGCATTACTCACAAGTATATCCAAAGTATTTTGAAAGGATTGACGAGCTCCATCTTTCCCAGGCCCCGGTATCAAAGATGAGGTCTCTTGAACTTTGCTGTTCTGCATTATTTGAAAGAAAGGAAACCATGTTAGCATGAATGTGTACATAAAACATATATGTTATATGAAATATGCAAATACCATATTCAGCAATGTACCGGTACATGTATATTTATTATTGTGGCAAGCAAGTCCATACACGTGAACAAAAAAAAACAACAACACATGGTTACTTTTTTTTTTTTTATCATTCTTACTTTTTCATTTCCTTCTTTTGATGGTACATCATGTATGATCCCCAGCCCAAACATACACAGTAAACTGATTTACTTTTAAAACACTGTAGCTGGTGCCCACCATAACTGGGGGGCTCCATGCAGAAGCAAAGAAAAGATTCTCCAGTGGGCCATGTATTAACAGATGCATTGCTATAGCACTACCAGTGTATATATAAACTTTTGTTCAGTATGGCTGAAACCTCATAAGCTTAGAAACCATAAAAAAAATGAATCGGGGGGGGGGGGGGGGGGGGGAGCTCAGATATCAATAAGCCCCCCTCCCCCCCCCCCCCAATATTTTTGGCGGGGTTTATCATTGAGCCTTCTTTTTGGATATGTATAAAAGAGAACAAAAATTTAATCCACTTTTGTTTTCATACCATGAAAAAAAATTGATGAAATAATTATTCTTGGTATTTGCTTCTATAAACATAATAACACAAACAATTTCAAGACACAGCTTCAGTACAAATATTGATTAATTTGTATTTACTGGAATTGCTTCTGCCATTGGAGTAGTTCTACTGCATGGCATATCTCGGGATTTCAATCTGCGAGATAACAGAGACGGCATCGTTGGTGATGGAATAGAAGAGTTCGAAGCAGAGTCCACGTTCTTATTTCCATCTTTCATAGGCGATGATGCTGATTCACCTGATGTTGATGGCTGTAGTAAATTGTCTACAAACTGTGTAGCAGACAAAGAAAAGACAAAAGTTGTATGATGTATGTTTGATCAGCAGTATATTGAAGTATTAAACCATGAACAACCCTGAAATGATAACACATAATGTTAATTTTAAAAAAGTAACAACCCGGCCTCTGTCTTATAAAGCAACACAGTAATAGAAGTTGCGGCTGGATGCAATCAAACCCTAAATTTTTATAAATATGTTGAAATTGAAACCCTGTAGAGTAAATCCCCACCCCCCCCCCCCCCCCCCCCCCTTTGTATTTTGATAAAAGGAGGCAACTGACATTTCAAAACAGAAATATATCTAGGTAAAAAATTAATGGGAAAACCCCTTTAAAACAAAAGAAATTTGAATATGCAACAAAATCTATATATAGATTTTATAAATAGATTCTAGACCTACCATATATTGAGCATTTCAATAGACAATAGGAAATCCTATCCCTTTTATAATTACCAAAAAAAATATAGTACTTGGAAAACTTTCTAGATCGATCTAGACCTACATGTAGATCTATTTTTTAATAAGAAAAATATGAAGTTTGCATAGTTTGTCAGTTGCTCCCTTTTACAGGATTAAATGTACAGTACCGGTAGATCAAGACAGATCTTTACTTTATATGATTGTAAACTTTCAAAAATCAAGCCCCACAACATTGTTTTACAAAAGCCTAGATCCAGCCCAGAGTTTATTTGCTTTTTAGTAATCCCCCAGACTGGCTAATTCCCACGTCTCGCACACAGAGCGGGCATCGTGCCATAGGCCTAGATCTATATGCCTATAATAAGCAAGAATGAACGAAGCCTAGCCGTCTCGGCTCGGGTGAGTTCTCCGTGCTTATAGCGCTAGTATTGGAAGGTACCAGCTAGCACTAGCAGACGACAACCGCGCGTGCTGCACAGTATAAATATACAGCGGGAGGTTGATTCTTGAAGCCCGGTAAAATGAAATTATAAAACGGAAAGATAATTAATATAACTAACCTGTTTAGTACGTCTTCCAGAAATCCTTCTTTCACTTGATGTGCGCATCTTAACCGGTCCTCGATGTATGAAAATGGTAGGAATAGCATCATCTTTGAGGATTTTTCGAGGTCTTGTACCGCATAGCTCCGCTTTCAGATCATGCTCGAAGCACCGTGGTTCAAAGTGGTCGCTACAAACGACATGATTTCTATTATATTGGTAATTGTTCAAGTTGAATTTCGCCGATTTCAGCGCAGCAATCCATTTTGCACACCTTTCCCGTTCTTTCACGGGGTCCGGTATTGAGTAAAAACTTTTACCCTTTGTCCTAGAGGAGTCATTATAGCAACCTATTGCTTGGCAAAAGACCATGATTCGTCGTGTCAGTGCGATAACAGTGTACCGCGAGCGAAAGTGAATGTCTGCGAAATAAGAAGGCAGCTCGCAACATACGTCACAATTTCGATACTATCGGTTATTTTTTGGCGATCGTTTCATGCCCATGTAACGCTATTTCATTGGGGGGGGGCGGCTGATTTTCGATACAAAAGTCGATATATCTTCGTTATTTGATCATGGATTTTAATGAGACTTGTATCATTCTTCATGGTATTATTAGGTCTATATCGTCAGCTAAAGAAATTTCTGGGGTGGACTATCCCTTTAACATGAGAAAGACGAATACAATCATTTGATTTTATGGCAACAGCCTATAAGTTCAAGACTCAAGTTCAACTTGAACTTGAACTTGAATTTGAACAGCCTATCTCTGCCGGTCTTTATTACCACCCCTCCTTCGCCAGACATTCGCCAGGGGGGGGGGGGTGGATCCATCCAATTCTCTATTCGTTATGTGAAAGAACAATTTACTTTAGTTATGAACAAGTTATGAACTGGGCTACTTTTGAGCTCATCCTACCCCCCCCCCCCTTTTAAAAAGGTTCATTAGAAGTCCAATTTCGAAATATTTTCATATACAAATGAGTCGTGCTCAAATAGATAGATAGATCAGGAGCAAATATGTCTGCCCTTAGAAATTTAAAGTAAAAATCATACAACGATTTGATAGGTAGTAAATGTCTGGTATTAGAGTGTAAATCATTGCCAATGAGATGTTACATGTCAAAAATTCCATTTATCTTTCTTTTCCCCCTTCTTCTTCTACCTCTCAGGCCAACGTTGTTTATTAATAGATTAATACCTGTAATATGTCCTTTTTCACGTTTTTAATGAATTAGGAATACCATAACATTTTCGAGGGTGTATGTAACTTTTCTACCCATCCATGGTGTACCCTAATATCGTTCCCCAACCCCGCCTAAACCCCTTGTTTATATATTTTGCCGCCCATACAAAACTTCAAACGTTACCGTTTCTTTTTATTCAACAGATCAAAGATGCCTGTGAAAGAGGATACCATGGTAACGAATGCCATGAGCGCCACCAATACTATGGATGCCAATACTGGAAGACAGAACGCTAGGAATCAACAGATGACCCATTCATCGAGACACCGTGAAGGAGAAAGAATTAGCAATGATAACATCCAACTTACAAGACATAAATCAGACACGAAGAACGAACAGACAAGCGCCAGCTACGGTGTATGGGGACCAGTCTTAAAATCAAGGCGTGATTTCGTTGATATGCATCTGTTTTGATAAAGATGAGGAGACTAAAAAAAAGAGATACCAAGACTCTTGTGATGAATAAACAAAAATGATTAAAATGCTGTAAATTCTTCAGTTCATTTGACTCCTTTGCCAAATATTGAAAGAGGAGATGAAGTTACAAATTGTTGCTAAGTATGGATGCCACAACGTGATTGATAATGGATGCATATAATTACGGACCTAAGAATATCGACGCTCGTTAGCAGGCTCGCATAATCTAGAGCCATTTTCATATACATGTATATTTATAATCAAAACTTTATTGTACTACGCCGAATTGCCGAATGAGAGGAAAGACGAACAGAAAAAAATCAGATCGAACTTAATCACAAATGATTTTGAAGAACATCATCCTTTACTCATAGATCACTTGACTGGCTTGCTTCTCCGAGATCGCGACATCTTCAAAGATTATTTCATGCCTTTATGGGTGACTCTGGACAAAATGTATATTGCTTTACCAATAAGTGATAAAATATGGGACATGCGCATATTAATATATTGATCATTTTACATTTTGAAGTACTTGAAAGTGTAATATTGTTTTAAAACTATTTAAAAAATATAGACGTATGATTGTACAAGGTTTTAAGATTTTAAATGTTATTAAATATTTTAAACAATCTAATACATAAAACCTTATGAATTCAATCTTTTAAAAGAAGTCCTGTAAGCAAACTAAATGATTTTCACTTCTTTGTTGTGTGTATTGAGAGAAATACTAGTGCTTCACCGTATTGATGGACCATAGAATTATACACTGGTGATCCATGTGATTATTGCAAGCCAAAGATACGTATTATTATATTATTTTGTGAGTGAGGCATAGTATTAGTTATTTTTGCATGCTACTGAGTACGTCGAGTTCAAGTCTGAAAAATAACATTCAATTTTCTTTTTATTATTGTGAACCCGATAATTTGTTTCATCCGTTTTTAGTAGGAATTCACTACAAATTACAAGTGAGAACGATCACATTATTGAGGGGTAAAGTATTGCATTACTAAATCTTAAACTTAACCTCATTTGGGCACATTCCAATATTTCCGAAAGCGGCTCAGTAAAAGCCTTGATAAATGTAAGTCCGATCATTTATTGAGTACTGATCATTGATCCAATCCCTTCATATTTTTATCTGTATTTTGAATGATAAATAATCAAAAGGGTATATGCTTTAATGACGTCATGACGAAATTTTGAATATATACGAACGGGCTAGGTTGACCCCTAGTGACCCTCTTTGATCCATGATGGAGTGAGCTGTAGCTTCACCCACCTGGTCAAAGTTTGATCTGCTATCGAAAATACGAACTTGGGGTGTTTATCATCATTTTTCTCTCAATCTACTTAATTTTTACCTTTAAAATGCATTCTTTTTCTATTCTTGTATTAGTGTTTTATGGACTTTTGTCTTGAGAATTATAAAATATTGCAAAGCTTGAGTCGCTGATTCAAAACGTGATTTAAATAGGATGGAATTTTGAGAAACAGTTTTTATTTACAATAATATTCAAATAGAAATGACTGCTACAGATATGACTGCCGAGGAAAATCATTCAAATCATTCGATATGGATGAAAGTGGGCGGGTACTATCGGAGACCGAGGGATGTTTGCTGCCTTTTTTCTTTTTTACATGAAATGTACTTCATTTTTATAAGACGAGGTATTGAACTGATGTAGTTTTTTTTAATATATGTGTACATTTCTAGAATTTCTAATTTGTGTAATCTTTGTCTTGTAATCTATGAAGTGTAATCTATGAAATGTAATCTATGGTGTCTACTGTCTAGCTTACCGCAGTGTTGAGTTCCATCGTACCGTCGATCAACAAAGATTATTGGCTTGAAGAAACAGCGCCACCTATGCTCAAAATTGTAAAATTCTGATGAATACGTTTATCCTTCCCCGACATTATCATGTTCAGGGAAGTTGTCACATATCATCCCCCCCCCCCCCTTTTTTTAGTTGGGGGGGGGGGGGTGATCGGATAACAAATTGCCGACAATTTTTCCTTCAACAAAGAAATAAAATATTCCTCGAAAAATTAAATAAATTTGCGTGAAACGCTTACAGATGGCCTGTCAGATTTTCACGTAAGTGGGTAGATGTTAAAAAATATTTCGAACATATGAAATGGAAACGGTTATCATTTTTTCCATTTGCTCATTAAACTTTAATATAGAAATTTATGGACTGATGTCAAAAGTTGCTCTTGTTTCCTAGTGGAGAGAAGGAAAGAAGTATCGGATATTTTTCTTGAATTGTATTTGTTTTCATTCATTATGCCTCCGTTACGAAGTAGCCGGAGGCATTATGTTTTCGGGTTGTCCGTCCGTCCGTACGTACGTCCGTCCGTACGTCCCGTTCTCGTGATCGCGTTATCTGAAGAACCGATTGATGGATTCCTGCCAAACTTTGGTCATGTATGTATCTTGCAGAACCGATGAACTGATTAGATTTTGGGGTCTTGGTCAAGGTCAAAGGTCATGCGGCTCATTATGTATGCAAAAAATAGCTTGTGATCGCATTATCATTAGAACAGATTGATGGATTCCTGCCAAACTTAGATCACGTATGTATCTTGCAGAGCCAATGAACTGAGTAGATTCTTGGGTCATGAGGTCAAAGGTCAAAGGTCACAGGGCTCATTATGTATGCAAAAACAGCTCGTGATCGCGTTATCTCAAGAACCGATTGATGGATTCCTGTCAAACTTAGGTCATGTATGTTACTTGCAGAGCCGATGAACTGATTAGATTTTGGGGTCTTGGTCAAGGTCAAAGGTCATGCGGCTCATTATGTATGCAAAAAATAGCTTGTGATCGCATTATCATTAGAACAGATTGATGGATTCCTGCCAAACTTAGATCACGTATGTATCTTGCAGAGCCAATGAACTGAGTAGATTCTTGGGTCATGAGGTCAAAGGTCAAATGTCATGGGCTCATTATGTATGCAAAAATAGCTTGTGAACGCATTCTCATTAGAACTGACAGATGGATTACTATTTAACTCGGGATATCTTGCAGAGCCAATGAACTGAGTACATTTTAGGGTCATGAGGTCAAAGATCAAAGGGTCATATAATATATGAGAAATTGCTTTTTGGTTTGTAAACTTGCTCTATGACGGAGGCATCATTTTCGACTGCGTGCAGTCGAAGTTCCATCTAGTTTTATTCTGATTTTGATAGCTACATTAACTGTTGTCACCACCATGGTGCTGTTATGTGCGTGGGTTTTGTAATAATGTCAGATACTTTTTCATTTGTCGACCTTTTAGCGAAAATTCGGTCTCTGCAGACGGCTTAATTTCGGTTCCACGTCATAGGCTCTTTCAATCAATATGCCTTATTTTCATTATTTCTTTCGTTCAAGAGATTGAAAATAGCTTAAAACTGTCATTCTGTCGAAAGTATTAATGTTCAAAGAGATGTGCTTTCAGATAATTGCATATAAATTTACCTAAGTTGTAATTGTACTCTTCACTTAGGGCTGTGGAGCTATAGATGTAGCAATAATATATTGGAGGTCGAATTCAGACGTGGGCGAGCCTTGTGCAGTATTATCTTTCTTATTATGGTTTACGTAAGGTGGAAAATGTACATGTATTGTAAAGAAAATGTATACCGTGTAATGAGCATGTATTTTATTATGTACGCAGAGGAATAGATTAAATATCACATCACTTTCCTACAAAGTAATCTTATGTTCCTTCGTTAAAATGTCTCTTATTAGCGTGCTTCCAACAAATATGATTAATTTAATAATTGATAGTTCCAAAGATCTGTTGAACAAATCCCTATTTCAGCCCTCTTCTATATAATCTCCTTGCCTTTCTTCGTCCATCTTCCTATCTTATATCTGGACTCCTGTTTTTCTCCACACAGAGGATGCTGCGTATATACAAAAGAAACCAGTGTAGCACTTAGATCTTCATTGATTGCCAAATGTATTGACTTTCATTTAAATTAGTCATTTGGGAATGATTATTCACATGCTTTTCAAAAAAAAAAATACTTCTCACAATAAAATATACAAAGGAGGAGGGGACCTGGCGCGAAACCTCGAAAAATCCTTAATTGGTTTCCCTTTCATATTCTCAAAGAAGGTACATAATCGAGTCAAGAATGAATGATATTCATTGATTCTCCTAAAAGTACTTGTGGGGAAAATGTGATTTTCTTTAATTGAAGGCCATAATCATATGCTGATTGTACTTTGCATTCTCCTGACAGATTATGAAGGGGGGAACGCCCATTCGCATCACACTGGATATTCATAATTGATACATCATTAAACAAAATGAGTGTGAAAATGATTTTTTTTTTTTTTTTTTTTTTTTTAATTTGTATTATTATTATTGAAGAAAAAAAATATATTTGGATGATTGTTATTCGTACATGTATTCTCTTCCCAAGGGTCACTAAGTGTATCCGGTGTGTGAAAGGGGAATTGAATATGAGAGGCAAACATTTCTAGGGAAAAAAAGCCTGTATAAAAGAGAATATGTCGATAAAGATGCGGGAATGAAAGACTCATATCTGCGGAGAAAAGTTATGAATTCTGGTCAATGTACTGAAATAATCAAGAAAATATCACTTGATTGGGGAATCATCATTTTTATAATCATCCCTACTAGCACCATCATCATCATTATCTTTACGAACATCATCATCATCTACATCGTCATCATTTTCATCGTCATCATCATCGTCATCATCACTATATTCAGCAACATAATGATCATCACCATCATCGTCATTTTCTACCTGTTGGTCCCTGGGAGGGGGTTGGGTCTTCAAGAAACCTTTCTCCACTAAATTCAATCTGCAACCCATCCCAAAATTAACAATTCGTCAGAATGACATCATTAATGCGATCTATATCCATCGGACCATCTCACAAATTTTGGTTTTCTTTCTTCTCATATTGCAGCTCATCCCTTTTTCCTGTCCTCCAAATTTCAAACCAACTCATCGGTATGTTTTCTTTAATAAAACAGGACCCCGTTGTATAAAACTTGCCATTGATGGTACCTTTCCCATCAATGGCAATTACCATGGTAACAGGGCTTAACAGCCAATCAAAATCAAGGTTTCCATGGTAGTTACCATTGATGGCAAAGATACCATCAATGGTGAGTTTTGTACGACGGGGCCCTGATCTATCTACGTCATTCTTCCTTACAAATACATTTGAATATTCAGAAATCTTTGAAAACAAATTGTTGATGAAGACCGTTCAGATATCACACGTGGGTGGCGATATATCATACATCTCATCTGAACCACTTCAGTGTGTCTCCTAAGCTCGAATTGCAGAATACCGGTAGGTGAGGACGATATTATGCAGGGGGTATGGAAAATATATTCGACTCTGTTGTTCTTCCTCTGTCATCTATGTTCGGTGCTTTTGCATCTTTCTCTTCTCCATCTCCCCCTCTTTTTCTCCCAAAATATATTCACCCCTCTTTCTCTCTCCCCCTTTTTTTCTCTGTCCCCTTTTATGTACCCCTCCTCCGTTTTCTCTCTTTTACCCCCCCCCCCCCGACTTTCTCTATATCCTTCCCCCTTCTCTCTCTCTCTCTCTCTCTCTCTCTCTTTCTACCCCTGTCTATCCCCTCTCTAACTGTCTGTCGTTTTTACTCCCTTTATAGCCCCGTATCTAGTCCCTTACTTCTTTTCACCCTCCCTCTCCATTCTTTTATACTTCTCTTCTATCAGTCTGTGTGATTTACTGGCTATGTACCTATAGGTATCTGGGTGTGTGTGGGTATGTGTGTGCGTTTGCATCTCTCTCTCTCTCTCTCTCTCTCTCTCTCTCTCGTTATTTCTCTTCCAGAAATTGTCATCCCCCCAAAAAATGAATATTATTTTCTTCTTTTTTCAGTTCAAAAGTTCAGTTCAAGGTATACGAATAAACCCAAAAACAAATTCAATTTTCAATCACTAAGGCTGGGGTTCAACTCTGCATGTACTCTAAAAAACAGAGTGTCAATATTATACATGTACGGAATGATACCCAATCTCTAAACTTCTTAGAAGGGAAAAGAGCCCCTCCGTCGCCCACGGTCCTTACAAGAGGTCACCGCCCTTGGTATCTCTTTCTGTCCTTCCCTGTCCCTCTATCATCATTTGCTTGTCCATCTTTCTATGTGTAGCTCATTACAAATGTCACTGTTTCACCGTATATATCCTACCATGTCTGTACCTATCCCGATATCTATCTTGCAAGTTTCTATTCCTATCAAGCTCTATATTATCTCTCTGTCAATTTTATCTCTGTGAACCTCTCATACATCCACCTACCCCCCCCCCTCTCTCTCTCTCTCTCTCTCTCTCTCTCTCTCTGTCTCTGTGATATATAAGATAGTCGTACATTTTTCTTTGTTCCTTTCGCTTATTTTTATCCTCCTCTCAATCTCCGTTTGACTATACCTCCTTGTTGATTCTCTCTCTCTCTCTCTCTCTCTCTCTCTCTCTTTCTATCTATCTGTCTCTCTCTCTCTCTATCTCTCTCTCACACACACACACACACACACACACACACACACACACACCACCTGTCACTCACACTTCTTCAATATCTATCTCTCAGGCTCTCTTTAGTAACTCTGTGTATGTGCCTTTATTTCTCGTTCTCATTCCTCTCGTAATTACGGAATGATTCTTCTTCACAACATTTCAGACAAAGAAAGTACTTCATAACTTTTTTTTACCATTTGTCCTTTTTATTTCAATAAGTTAAATTTTTCTCTCTCCCTCCACCTTTCTTACTCGAGTACGTGGAAGCAGGAACATTAAATACGCTCCGGCACATACTATAACGTGTTCAATAAATAATTTGTTTGTCTTGGCAAGAAAATGTTGCTTGCACTATAAAATGTACAATCAATAAATAAATAGTGTGATGGGCATACATAAATACGAATACAATGTACATTACGAAACCTGTCGCGAAAAGGTTCAGAATAAATAGCGACATTCATACCGATGCAGTTTGAACTGAAATAGTGAAATATTCCCTGTTTTATCCGATAAAAGGTGTTATTAAGCAATGACCTGAATACAACATCGGTAACCATGGTAGCACGAACAACAATGAATACACAGCCTCCCATAAAACAGCGTATGAGAGTATACATAACGTAAATCATGAATATGCAGTGACTTTGACTTTCTACTTCATAAATGGTCATACATGGACAATAAAAGGAAAGCTAGCGCATCACTGTACAAAAAAAAAAAATCAGTATCTTATAATCGATTAGCGATAAATCCAGCTCGTGACAATTTTGTAAGTCGGTTAGTTGAGATAACATGCTGCATCTCGAGTGGGGCGTCCTCAAGTCCAAACATTGCGATTGTTACTAAAAATCACGATATTACAGTGGAAGTTGCGTTTTTTATGGCAAAATGGGGCAGTTGCAGAGCAACACCAATCGTCAAATCGCGAGGTAAGTAAAATTGCGAAGTTGGACCATGGTCTAAATACCTTTTTCTAGAAAGATTCTTAGAATGATAAAATGCCTTTCTTTGATAATAACCCAATATTTTATCATTATAGTCCCATTATCATAATAAAACTAAGATTACCCGTTGATGAGCATTTAAATACATTTTAATGTATAAAGTGCATTGTGACCGTTTGCTGTAACTATGAGGACGAAATTCCAATCTGATTTATGTAAGAATCATATTCTGTATGAATCTACTTTAGTACCTGTGGTATCGATTTATTATATGACCTGCCGTTTAATTATGTGGGATATGATGCTAAACTGATAATCTAATTGTGGTACCATAATAACATTGCAAATACACACTCAGAACGGAATGAATGGTTGATCATATAAATGGAGTCAGTATTCCACACCATTGGAACTACGTTGATCAATGCTGCATGAGTTCCACGATGAATGAAATTGTACCATGATTTACTTGATTTACCATCTAAAAATGCCAATAATCTATTTAATCATTAGATTATATATAAATTATATTTTATCGGTATATTATTGAAAGTGAAGTCATTAATTACAACCACGGTTACCATGTGAACGACTAGGTTAATGTTGGTATGATAGATATACATGATAACAATAATTTTTGGGCCAACATGTTGCTATGTCGATATCATACGATATTGATGAGGAAGAAGAAGAAGAGAAAGCAAAAGAAGAAGAAAAAAGAAGATTGAAGAAAAATGCGACAAAGAAGAAGAAGAAAAGAGAAAAAGAAGACGACGGCGACGATGATGAAAACGTCAGGATGATACTACACTAGAAAATCAAACAGAAAAAAATAAATCAAATCAAATCAAAACAAATCAAACGAAATGATAATTGAAATGATAACGAAAAGTAATTAATGGTCAGTACAATAGTAAACAAAATAAATAGCAATAAAAAAAAGAGAACTGCATCGTGATCTTATCAATATCGAATACACCACGGTAATAGTTATAATAGAAATAAATAATGCATAATGACATTGACATAAACATGAAGTTCGGAAATAGCTGACTACTTGTATTTTGAAAGCGAAGCTGAGGAAAACTATACCATTTTAAAAGGCAATAATCATAAAGTTACAATCAGACATCATCTTCCTGATTCTGATTCATTCGAAGAATTAGCTCTCGAAATAACTACACGGTACACTGGCAAAGATGAAAGACAAGACTTTCATATCATTTAGCATTGATATCAAAACCACTAGAAACCTTGAATTAAATAGATCAATTTCCTCTCAGACGTCATGAAAAGAACCCTGCTACATGAGTTACTTGTTATGAATTTAATGAAATTTAATTCATATAATGTTAAACGATGGCCCTCTGGACAGTGAATATTCTATCCAATATTGGCTACGACTGTGACCTCAACAGACCTTCCGCCATGTGAACGGAAGTACTTGGTTACTTGAATAGTCTCAGGTCAGTCAAAAACACCTGTATACCCAACGAGTGTTTAGGTTTTCATGTTAGGACTGCATAGAACGATTCCCTTAATAACAAAACGTCAGGATGATACTAAACTAGAAAATCAAACAGAAAAAAATTAATCAAATTAAATCAAATCAAATTAAATCAAACGAAAATGAGTTTATTGTCATCTTAACAAGACAAATTAAAAATATCAACTCAAATGTGAGAGGATGAAAGCAAAAAAAGGAATACGAGGGTAGTTTTGTTTCAGTTGAGTTGGTCACATAAATATTGTGCATTGTAAAAAGGCTATTTGATATGAATCATTGTATGTTTAGGCTTCTTTTGTTGATCCCTTTATGAACTATTTTGGCAAGAAAACAGACAACCTGACTTGTTAAATGGTGCTTTTACACCCGTTTACATATTCAGATATGTTGACACATAAAGGCAAAATGCGACTAGTTTGTTTTACTTATCCCTATAACCATACTACGTGCATAAGTCGTGTGTTTGCTATTTTTTTTAACTCTCATTCTCTGCATAATATTTGACATCAATACTATTCATTGCTGTTTCTCATACATGTATAACAAGCATTTTTTAAATAACATTTCATCTGTCATTATCATTATATACATCAGTCTTTCTATTTATTTTTTATTATAAATAACGGTGAAGAGTATCAAAAATAAACTGGAATGCTTTCAAAACAAAATGGCGGGCATCATGATGAAGTATGTAGGTATGAATCCATAGGTTACGATCCAATCAGTGCTGCTGCTAAGTGTGATTGTGGATTTAACTCACACTCACATCCCACGCGCACACTTCTCGTAACAACTTCCCAATGCTCTACGTAATGCCTTCCGCCCGTGTCGCTCGTTTGCGGCGCGCACTCCCCCGTTCTTCTGAGCATGCTCAGTTCAAACGTTCGATCCGCGCATCTCCCAGTACCTGTAATCAAAACAAAAAAACAAACAAAATACTCATTATCATCCCTGAAATAGAGCAGTATTTTGCACCCATACGTGTATATGGGCAAGTCCGTTGTAATATGCCTATTTACGTGTGTGCATAACTAGCATTTAAATAACGTACCTATACATGCATATACACACGCGTTTGTTTTTATAATGCCTTTAAAACAATATATTCGGTGGCCAAAACAGATTTATCTTTGAATGGTGAATAGTGTGAGAAAAAGCAAGCGAACTTGATTGATGTATACCTTTAAAATCTGTAAAAACACGGCGCTTTATTCTTTTTATCTCGCATACAATGCCCTTTTTCATATTTCATTCCGTTTGATTTCTCTCGTGATCTCATTAGAGCTTCTTCACAAGAGATGATAGGAGGTGTTATGAAGGTCTCCGAGGAGTTTGTGGTCATAGAGGATACTAATACAATCATTCCAGTTATTAAACTGGCCCTTCTCATAATGCATCTTCACGCATGACTGAACACGTATCTTCTAGGGGAGATGGGTATAACCAACGTCACTGTTGAGTTATCAGTACTATTTGAATCGTGTAGTACTATTTGAATCGAGTATTACTATCGTGTAGTGCTTTGCAATTTGTGTTGTGTGCATTTAAGAGTCTTTCAAGTATTGTAAGGTATCTGCTATTAAACAGTCTTAGAATATGTTTATGGTAAATTGTTAAACAGCTAATGACATAGAGAAGGTCTTTCGTATCCTGTACAAGCAAATTGTGAGATAACTGAAGAAAAAAATCATTGTTTGTTTCTCTTTTTTGTTTGTTTTACAGAATTGCAACAAGCTTGCACTGAAAGAAAAAATAGATGACGATTTATTTTTTCTCCAGCACTGTTTACGTTTTGAAAGACTCTGACACATCCAGATAATGTATAGAGGGAATGTCGAGCTGTGTTACTCGAAGAAGGACTACACTGACGAGAAAGAGAATACGGCAGGGTTTACCGTCCTGGTGGAATAGACCCTCGCTCGGCTGGGGATAAATATTTGTATCCAGACGGTTTCTGTATATCTCGAGTTTAATAACCCTAACAGATGTTGTAATACAACGTGAATGTCTTGTTTGGGATGAGGTGATATTACAATCATCTCATTCTAGATCGCCTCCATCCGATTTAGATATAACTTCACAAAATACATTCCTTCCGTGCCCTAATGTAAATGATTTTATCTGCATTGGATCTGACACCACTGACTTCTATATCTCAATCCATAGTGCACATCTTACCCCTGCATGCATCAGTAGCGGTGAAGAGGAGGTTTTTAAGGGGTATCATATAAATCTTACATCCAATTTCATGTTCTCTTGGGTATACCAAGGATTGTTTCATGTTGTATTCAATTTCAATTGAATTAATGAAGAGGACACTTTGCATGGCGTAATCAATCATGTGATTCATTTGGCTATTTAATATGATACATTGACTTCCAAGTTCAGGTATTTAGCATTGAGTTTATAAATCACAATTCTGATTGGTCTTCTTCCTTTAATATTCTTTATGTTAATTAATATGAAAGAAAATTTAGACAGATTAACTGCTCAGACATCATGATTAAGTATACCAAAAGCTGGAAACATTAAAATAGTAAATGCTAATATAATCATGATGCTATATGGGGGTTTTCTCATTCAAAAGGGAAAGGATAAGATGGAGGAGGGGAGTGGGGTGACTTCTCTCCTTCACTCAATCAGCTGGTTCGAAATAAGATAGTGATCAAAGTTACACCCTTGACGCTAGATAATAGACAGATTCTCACCTCGTAGACAGCCCACTGTCGCCTGGGGGTCACAAACGACCTCGTTGAGATAGCGAGGGAAATAATTATCTTCTAGTTCTGTTGTCATCATGCATGCTCCGCAAAGACGAAGAAACCCGTCATCGTTCGCCTCGCCCATGGTTTCACAATATCCAATAGTACTCTCACCTAGACAAAGATAATAGAGGGTGAAGGTTACAAATATACGTCTACTACAATACAGTATCTCTTATGATTATATCATGATCAGGATAATAATTATAATGACTTGCTACTGATTCCCTGAAGGTGAATACGTTTGTTGCCGAAACGAATATTTTGCTTACGTTGAAATTAAGATAATTACTACCTTATCATCACCTAAATTAATCTGAGTGAGATTTAAAGAATTTAGATTAGTATGACATCTAAAAAAAACATTAGATATATGTTTTCCTCTATAAAAATGAGTTTGTAGTTGTTTTTCTTGCTTTACTTCGTTCTTTTACTTTATTGTTGTATATTGAAAGCCCATGTACAGATTTGGTAAGGTAAATGTTCTACCCATCCCTCCCATACACACTCTAACATGCATCCAATCAACGCCTTTTGTATAAGTGGCCTATGGCCTATACTCCGGGGTCAATTTAAATTACCAACCAAATTCCCAACCACACGACTGGATACAAAGTCTAATTACCCTACCATAAATCTAACACAACGCCGATCACAACCACAATCCCCTTCGTACACGAGGCGTTTTGTTGTTGTTTGACGTAGCCTGTGGCAGCGAATGATTAAGCCTATGGTCCGTCATGTGAGAGTGAATGCACTTTTTTTTAATGAATTCAAAATGGCAACAGGCATTACACTGATGTCCGTTAAACACAATGCGTCAGTTTGATTGCGTAATTATACTTACGCCAATCAAGCGTATCCAGGCAAACTATTGATGCATGCGTCAATAATTCATCAAAATGTTTGCACTGATTCATTCAGGCATTGTCCAATGTTTGCAAATTTCACTTACATTACACTTAAGACGCGCCAAAGACTGAGTTAGTCACTGACGCAGTACTACGTCAGAACAAATGACGCCTCATGGGTTTCAATCTATAATTATCTATGACGCAATCAAAGAGTAAGCATCTTGTGCCAATTACTAACCTACTGGGTTTCGTATTGATCTAGATGATCTTCTTTGTTGTGGTGTGATGTAAGAGTTCTGCAATTGTTCCTGAAGTTCTTGTGGTATATCTGGGTGATAACCATCTTGTAAAACGGCTTCAACTTCTCTCTTTCTTAATCTCCGGCTGCTTTTCGATGTCTGTTTATACAAAAAATGGAGGTAAGAAGGAATAGATATTATCAATGAATAATACTAACGATAGTAATAATAATAATAAAGATAATAATGATGATAATAATAATACAAATAGTAAAGAAAAATGGATCGTTATTCATCATCATCATCATGCTCCTAGTATTCGTATCTATTTATTCACTGCAAATTGGCAGTTAAAACATCACAATACAATAAAAACGAAACAATTTATGTAATAATGATGATGATGATGATGATGATGATGATGGCTGCTTAAACTTAGCTTAGACTGAAAGCAGACGTAAGTCAAGCCAACATATATCGTTACCTTTCTCCGTCAAACATTTTGGCTCTCTACATTTTGGAATTACTTTTATTTTGCAATGGTACAAATTAGGCTGGAGGCATGTAATTTCAACAAAGATATTAGTTCATGAACTTTTACGCCTACGCCTACGTTCATGAATCCTATATAGTCCGTTCTTAAGTAGATGTTCAGCTCTGTAATCACATGGGTTATTATGTTTCTTATTTTTAAACAAACAAATGAATAAACAAACAATTGTACTGTTTACTTACTTTGTTTGAAGCAATATAAAGTAAATTTGGGAAATTGAGAGGACTGTTATCCATATAGAGTGTGTTAGCTCCTGCTGCTTGTAACATTGCTTGCAGAGCATCGGTTGTTTGTCGTCGACACCTCGTACGACTTCTCTTTGTTCTATGCAAGGCACCCTGGGAGAGAAAAAAACAGAATAGATGAAGAAATGAATGAGATTGATTGATAAAAATTGTTATGAGATGATGACGTGGATCCTAATCAAATGATTGGTTGAGAGCGTACACGTGACCAGGCATTTGTTTGCCTTACGCGTAATTTAGATAATGACCGGTCATTATCCAATCCGGTCTTTATCAAAATTATGTTATAAAACATCATTTTATCAAACAAATAATACTCATCATTTTGTTCGGGCACTCGTAAAATTACTAATGCCCTCACTGATGTGTATTATTTGTATAATAACTAAATAACCTCAGTCATATCGGCACTTTGATTTCAAATGGACTGATTTCTAGCCTTGCGGCATGTTCGGTGTAATGCATTGCTTGTAAATATGTTGTCGGTCAGGTGTCGGTCTCGTTTGTGTGGCAAGGGTACGAACACAAGATTTGACTTCTAGATAATTATAATCCGTAAAAGTTAAGGCCAGAAAGAAAAGGTGACACGGTATTTCGCACTAACCAATTTATAAAACGGAGCAGAAATATATTTATATTTAAACATACATTTAATTCATATCTGTCATTGATTCGGTGTCTTACATACTTCTTCAACAATTTTTCCCATGGGATGTAAAACATTCTTAATCACTTATGAACTTGTATTCTAGATTTAAAAAGTTATTACTACCATATTACAACTGGTCAAGAAACATAAATATAACCAATATTAATGGTAAAGACAGCAGATAATTATAGCGAAAATACTCACATTATCATTTTCATCTGTTTCCCGTACATCATCAGTACCTGTGTAAAGATAAGATGAAATTGGTTTTCATGAACATCATGCTTACTGCTTGCTACTGTTAAGCTTTCATGAATTGTTTTAATTTTTATTAAACTGAATTAATCTACAATGTTAATAATAACAAAAAAACAGTTACCTTCTGTTTTCTGATGTATTTATTCCCACGAGTAGATAAAAAGTATTTAGTTTAATTAAATCACTATTGACCATGCTATCTTTCCATATGATAAAATATCTATATCGTACTGTAAATCAATATGTTAAATCCACTTTAAGGAAAAATAACAGTAATCCCTGTAATTTCTTTTTTAAATCACAAATCCGAACTTGAACTATAGCTAGGTACTTGTAACAATTTACATAAGTATTTAATGAGTTCTCTAACATCAGATTTTTGGATAGGAAATTAATTAATTTTCTAAATCAATTTATATAATATAATTTTGAACAATAAAAGAGTTTACTTCATATAATCATGCGAGGCTTTGATTGTGAAGGGAAATAATGGGTAGATTATAATGACCTTATCATCAGAGCGATCGAGAAATAAAAAATATAAAGAAGTCATATTTTTCATTGCATTGAATTGAATATTGAATTGAATATTTCCTTCCTATATTTCAAATGTTCCGAATAGAATCTACAATATTGAAGAAATCTTGATTTAGAAGCAATTTGATGAAAACAGTTGTCGAGGACAGTAGATCTGCTTTCGATAATCATGATAGTAAGATTAAGACGCTCTAATACATGGAATAACTCGCCATCATTAGTCTCAAATCGCTTTCAACAACACATTTTTACTAGTTTTAAGGAAAATGTTTTGTTTAATGTCATAGCAATTTGAGATGAAAGACACCAATCATACATCGCAAATATATGTTATCATTGGAGCTGCGAATTTATGTATAACGAAGAGCTATGGAAAGGAGCATAATCATTATGAAATATTGGTCTATAAATGTGTCTGTTTTGGGGCACCCTTGGTGTTCGGTGAGAGGTCTATATCATGTACTATAACATGCTTTAGTAATCATCAGGTTTCCATGAGCTAAGCTAAGGAAGAAGGTATAGTGATTATTAATCCAGCCATGCCCTGCATCGTTTTCTCATCATCTTTTAATCATCGCTTGGCCTGTTTCCCAGGCCTATATATAGTGGAAGATGCGATTGTCTCATTTTAATACTGCATCAAAACATTATCTCCAATAAGAATGTATTTTTACCATTTCCCGATGGAAAAATGTATTTTAAGATGTATTACATAGAGGAATGGGGAGAGCCATGTTCCACTAATGCCAGCGAAATCTCATTGGCGTTCACTCGCTAATCACGTATACCGAAATAATATTTTCTAAGGCGTTTTGGCAAAAGTATCATCCCCCTTGCCACGATATATTGAGTTCCCAAAGGAAAGGTGTAATTTAAGATGTTTATTTGGTCCTTTTCTATTTATGCCAGTAAATGCTCAATGACGTCGACTCATTGATCACAGTCCTATCTCGAACTAATGTTGCCTATATGTTGCTTCGTGCCTTCGCCTACCCTCAGGCCAGAATTCACAAAGGAGGTTTGTCGACAAACCTCCTTCTGTTTCGACGAACCTTCTTTTGTTTTTTACAAACCAAGGTTTGTAAAAACGCGTCGAAACGCGTCGTATGACGCACATAAACCTCGGTTTGTCGACAAACCTCCTTTGTGAATTCGGGCCATAATGTTTGATCTATAAGTGATGCTCAATGGCCGACCTTACCTGTAATATTTGTAGGAGGCACTGAGTCTGAGAGTGAGACTAGTAGTGTGTGTAGGGACGCAGGTTGATGATGCGATGTAGGGGGTACGGGTGGAAGGCTAGCCGAATGAACCCATCGGCTCAAGTACTGAAGTAAAATACCCGCTAGTAATGTCACATAAATCTGAACAGATACAAAGAAAAATAATACCAAGTTGATAAATATCATTTCGAATGGTTTAACACAATGTAAAATTGACAAAATACACGAAAGCTTTAGCCTCTAGCAGACTATTTTTGTGTTCTCTTTTGATACATTCACAGTATTAATTGTACTATATTAATTTTTGGGGTTATGGCTAAAGTGACAGAAGCATTGATAAAACCATTAAAAGTACAGATTAAGTGGAATATTAGTAGTTCAAAGTATAGGATATTTCGGCATTTTTAAATTGCTTATGCAAAATCCAATCAGTTCTCATTTTAGCTAAAAAGAATAAGTGTCGGTGTCCATTTAACAAAATCTACAAATAAAGATAATGTCCAAAAGTTGTAATGAATTATGATATTCTGTGATAAATTCTACAACATGGAAATATTTCTTGTGTTGTAATTTCACACATGACAAGCTCTTTTAATAACAATAATAATAATGATAATAATAATAATGATAATAATAATAATGACAAGCTGTTTTGTTTATCATATTTTCTTTCAGGGCAGTATCATTGTCTAAAAAGAACATGGATTAGATAAAATCTTGTCATCTATAGTTCTCCTACTTCGAGCAACAAATTTTCGTTTCAGGCAGCAAATGTATTACTGTGTCATCCCACGATAAGACGTTATTATGAACAATGGTAGATTTTAATCATCGAGGGTTGATACTGCATAAATAACGTCAGAGTAGGTTTCCAATTTCTCGTCAGGAAATTAATTATTTGCGATTGAAACGCCCCAGTATTTGCTGCAATCTGCCCTGGGGTATTTCAATGGAAAAATAGAAATGGCAACATCAAAATGATTATTAAAAACCTAAGGCCAAGAGTGTAGGAGACTTTGTTTGAATCAGGTGTTTGACTGACTCCATCAAAGCTAGATCTATTATGCAAGTAGTTTGAAGTGACGCCGCCGACCGTTTGGGCAACAGGTCGCTTTAAAAAGGGAAGAAATCGTTATTCTACGTTTCACTGGAGCTCACAAAATAACCCGTTTATGATTAATCATCTACTTGGAAGCTCAATATAGCTTCCATATCTACCCATCTACCTCCTCCCCCCCCCCCTCCTCCTCTCCCTCCTCCTCTCCTTCCTCCTCTTCCTCCTCCTCTTCCTCCTCCTCTCCCCCGCTCCTGTTTGTAGTGAAGAATCATTCTTGCTACACTTTTCCCTCACGGAATCATGACGTAAAATGCTTGTGGGTGTCGTCATAATTTGTTTCGAGCCGATTAAAGAACCTCCGGGCGATTTCAACTAACAATGGGAGAAATTAATTTACAAAATTGCCCTTTTACGTTGTGTACTGAATATATTTAATTATCATCCCTTCTCACCTTCTTGAATATCGTGTTTTATTTCATTCCCTTTTTATAGAGGTCCATATTTTGTATACAAATTGAAACTGACTTTTTACCCTTAATAGTCAAGGCAATAAGTTATGATGTTTATTAAGAAGACAGAATGTATTTAAAAATACAGTAAAGAAATAGCACGGGTATACATCGCCTTCGTAAACAAGAGTTAAATTTATTAATTCGTCAAGTTTATTAATTCTTCACTTTATGTTAAATTATCACGTATTTGTAGACCTGTAGATGGATGAAACTATAGATTTTAAACTGTTTATATTGATTATATATTTACATAATAACTAAAAAAGCATTTATCTTAAAAGGCTAAAAAAAAGTGTTATTTTTATAGTATTATTTACCATGTGATACATTTTTCTTCCCTATAAGTAAAGGCAAACGTCTGCTGAATTATTGTAAACAAATTTGTTTTGAATAATCGCACATCAAAATATGGGAGAATAAAAGTAAAATGGAATTTTTAATTCTACTGTATCTGCTTCAAAGTACTGGAATGATCTAACACTTAGAATTAGGCAGTCTCCATCAGTATCACCTTCAGAAAGGCCTTAAAAACAGATGTTTTTTGCAGTTGTAGTTATAAGACTTTTTCTTATTACATTTATTTATTTATGTAAGTGTAATTTTCATTTATTGTAAGCGCTTAGGGCCTTATGGGAAAAGCGCGGTATAAGTAATAACAATAATAATAATAGTTTATAACTTCAAAAAGCATCCAGTTTATCTTTCAATATACTCCTACACAACCTTCCACTACTCCGACGGTATATGTTCACAAAGCACATCTGTATACAATGTAGCTACTAAAGACCAGTAAGCATAAAATGAGGTAAGCATAATTATTACAAATGTCAATCGGTAATGCGTACAGTGCTATTAATTTTTCGTCTTTCCCGTATTTTAATTCTAACAGTGGGTAAATATGAATTATATGTTGCTACGGTAATAAAATGTGACGTCATACTCCAACCAATCGACAATCTGTCTCTTCCCAAGCCATGCAATAATTTTTCGCCTGACTTGACTTTATTAATACAATAGAAACTCGACCGAGTGATCAAAACATATCAAGATCGAAATGAAAATAGATTTAATAGAGAGCGCTTTACAGGGCCCTTTGAAAACGAGGAACCAAGCTTATCATACATGTTACCACCATATATAATTCAGTGGGATTTACTCTAAATCCCATTAAGACTATTTATCCATTTGTACTAATTTTAGATTGGAAATGACTCTCATCTCGACTGGTTTAGGGTGGATTCATGATTTTATGACCAATTGAATTTCACAGTCTAATTAAATTGACATATGAATGTTTCTACATCGATTTCAAATAATTATATTCTAAGTCAATCATTTAAAACATAGCATCAAACTGAAATGCCGCCATTTTCTGAAAAGGCTGATGTAACGATGTTTTGTAAAGAAATATGTAGAAATGTTTTAGATCTAGTTTGAATTGCCCTTTCGAATTCTATGTCGCTGCAATGATTGTAGATATATATAAGTAGTATACTTTTGGTATTTAGACTCATCATGTATTTGTTTTGGTAGCTACATAAGGAAGGTCAAGGGCCTAACTTATTCACCCAAGCTCAAACGAGTCTAATGATTGCTTGTCTGCTGCAGATTTTACGAGCTTTTTAAATGCTTTTAAATGCTTCACATAAGTATACAAATGACCTGAATGTTTGATACAGCAGTCTTTTGTATTATACATAGGATGAGGAGATCTAAACTCCATGCTGAATGGAAGATGTGCCTGTATAATCTAAGGACGCCGTCATTCATCGTTCCTTTATGTTTTGGGGTTGAATAAATAGCTCGTATCTTTCATTGCATCGATGATCAGAAGACCTTTTCAAATAACTCACAACGTCATGACAATATGATTGACATGAATGCAATCCGTTAATTTTATTCAGGTTGCTCGTAAATAACAAAGTAACATGAAAATAATTCATGTTTCGACATATTAATGAAAGGCATATTAATATCATTACCGTTATTATCATTATTCTTATAATTATGACTATCATTATTACTATTTTTTTACTGCTACTATTATTATTATTATTTCATTATCATTAATATTATTATTATTATCATTATTGTTGTTGTTGTTGTTATTATGATGATTATTATAATTATAGTTCATTCTCCGAGTTGAATCCAATTACCGTACTGTGCTACGTTTGATTTGCTCGATTATCAATATAATCTAATTATTGAAGAGTTGTGACAGGTGGAATCAAATTAGAATAGAAAGGAAGCGGCACCTGCTTTATATAGACCACCTCCTTGTGGTTTGAAAGAGAGAAAGAAAGATACAACATGTATATTGGTATTGTGGGTGGAGATATGTAAATCATGTCAATCTATTTGTATCGTCCATTCGACATACCTAGTTCTTTAATTGAAATGTTCATGAATTCCGTTGTATGATATGTTCGGCTTATTTAAACGACCTGGATTCGAAGAGTTCACTTCGCTCATTTACCAGGCGAGCAGAAAACCAGACGGGGACGGGTTCGCAGAGAGAGAAAGAGAGAGAAAGAGAGAGGAGTGACAGGGAGTGGACTGATGACAATTTGTAAAATTGAAACACAGTGCAGACGTGACTAGAGAGAGAAGAAAACAGGTAGAGAGAGAGAGAGAGATGGGGGGAGAGAGAGATACAGAGACATAGAACATGATAGTAAGACAAGGAGAGAGAGGATAAACACGGGAAAACCAATAGCAATATGTATTTTATTAAATTTTGCAAACTGATAAACGTTATCGAGAGAAAAAGTGAAACGAGAGGGTGAAAAAGAAGAAAAAAGCCATACATATGAAGAGAAGGAAAGGAGAAGAAGAAGAAGAATAGAAAGAGTTGGAGAGAGAAAATGAGAAAAAGAGAGGGAGAGAGAGAAGAAATCAAATGGATGATTGCTTTTAAAAAAAGAAGAGAGAGTTACGATATTTCTTTACCTTTATCCTTACTATTCTTTCAGTGTTAACGACAAACCTCCAACTATCAATCCAAATATATTCCTGGCAAACTTTTGTATTCATTCAAAAGAATGATATGGTTTGCAGTACCTCAGGTAAACAATAACACCCACAATGATCGCTAACATTATAGTTCATTCTACTTTTTCATATCATCTGTCCGAAATATACCCTCGTTTGCTAAGCTGATTGAATACAAATATTTTTCTTGAAATTGAAATTCGTCGCCATGACGAGATAGGGCGACGAGTCTGGATGAACTATATATCATATCTCTCTTCGGAACCGTGAACCTATGTAAGATAAAATCATGGAGCTTGGTCACAGTCATTCTCTATTGGTAGCATTTCTAATTTTGGATATAAAAGTGAGAACTTTGATCGTACTCTAATACCTTCTCAATATGATTTTACAGTTTAGAAAATACTTGTGGTATCTTGACTTTCGAAACTGGGTTTTTTTCTTGTCAACGGAATTTATTTAGATTAGTAATATACCTCCTGTATAAGTAGAAACCTTAGTTTAACCTGAGCTTGTATATTGGAACATATATTCCAATATGTGTTCTGAATGTATGAGTATGTCATATTGAAGACAGACAGTGGACGATTATGAAGGGTGATGTTGAATTCAGGTTCGTGACTCAAATGTATGAAGCATGAAGATCGACCTTTAAACGCTCATATTTTCATCTTGTTTAGATTGCAAGGGTTATTGGACAATAGTGGAATGGATTCTAGTGTCAGGAAGTCACTATTATGAGTTTCATATATCTATATACCTAGTCATTATAATCATGATTTAATTTCTTTAGTCATTGTAAATGTAAGCATTATTAAAGTTGATTTTTATCATGCTTTCTGACGAAGATGACATTGATTGAAATAATTATAAATGTAGAACATAATTATATGTAATAGTATGACTACAACGAAAAAAAAATAAAAAGTAATTTGCAAAGGATTATTTAGTTACTAATATTTAATTATGTCTCATCTTTATTCAGATTAGTGGTCGTAACAACATAGACAAGAAATGTAACATTTAAAACCCAGGTCCATGAGACAGTGTCATACAAAATTCAAGAGTCATTTACAATTTACATTGTACAAAAACTGGTTAGTCCCAAATATAAAGATTAATGGTGGGTTACCAAAAAATAGATTCAGTGTCATGAAAACTTATCATACCACCCATGGCTGTTTGATGTTATGATGACAATGATCGAAGCATTGACATGTAAGAAACATTTCTATAATAAAAATGCCAATTCTATTTCTCTGTGGAATTGTTCTTTAAAATATTTGTGTCTAAAACATCTAATTCGGTGAGACAGAAAGGAAGAAACAATCTACATATTTCATAAATTTGATGGTAAAGGGAGTAAGGGACGCTAAAATCCCTTGACTTACTATTATGAATCATCTCTTCCGGCGCGCATAAAACGCTGTCAATAATGATTTAGATGCTAATTTAATGGGGAGCGATATGCCCACAACAGGTAGAGGCTTTTTAATTAATTGCAGAGATAGCAATGATAATCATTGGAGGAAATAGAAAAGACCTTGCTTTCTAATCAGGCTTGTTGATATAGACCTTGTTGGTCGACCGACCGACCGACCGACCGGCCGATGGTACTGGTCACAAGGTGGCAATCCTACACTGTCTTGAATGAGGGATTCCCCATGCACCCTCTGAGTGTTGGAACCTCTAATGCGTGTTAATTACAGTTATCGCTTGGCAACTTGACATCATTCTATAGGTCTATGATAGTTTTAGCATTATCTTACATGTACATGTGTAGAGTAAAACCATTGTATAGTATACTTTTACAATATCACAGTTAAGAGGAATTGCGTGTACAACTTTGTTTTCCATGCATGGAAATCTACATTATTAAGTAGAGTGGAACCAGAAAGATATATATATATATATATATATATATATATATATATATATGACAAATGAATAGTCTTGATACACTATAAAACTGAAAATTCGAAAAGTTCCTTAATCTTTTTGTTTGTCTTCTAATATTTATCGAAAAAGAACTAAATACAAAATATTTTGGTTAAAATAAGTCGTCAAAAGACTTCTCTAGATGCGGGAATTAAATCATTTCGATTTATTCTGTAAAGAGATGAGAGACAGCAAAAATAATCATTTTTTGAAATTTGCAGGTTTTATGGATGTTATATGGACGGTATTTAATTGGTTTAGTTCAAGAAATAGTGTACTACATTGCGCGCTCCATATATCCTCAAAAGAAAAATTTGTATTTTATTATGATTCCTGTCATTGCAAACTTTCAGTTGCAAACATCGAGATCGTACAAGTGGTAGTAGTTACATGTCAATCAATTTAAGTACTTCACTCAGCTAATAGGCACATTGCCAGCTATGAGGGTCTGTAATCAGTTTATATCGACGCATACAACTGATCACAATTGACAAGGCGTGTGATATTCCGTTGACACATCGCTAGGAGAAAGATTGAGCTCAAACGTTAATCGGATACTCTTGCGAGCCAACTTTAGCCTCAGTCTCCACGTATACAACACGTTTTTATGTAGACATACATGTTTGCGTAGCATCCCTTTGAACAAACATTACTTCTTTCATGAACAGAAATAATTGTTAAAACATCAAGTCACTGAGAAGAGAAAAAATGGTGAAAATTGTCGTGAGGTATATATTACGAAGGCATAATAACGCAAGGTATCTATTTTTAGTAACATTTAGATGATGTCCGCTGTTAGACAAGGTCGGTGAACAAGAAAAATGGGATGCGCTCCTACCTCCCTATCTCTCTCTCTCTCTCTCTCTCTCACTCTCTCTCTCTCTCTTTCTTTCTCTCTCTATCCCTCGCTCTCTTTTACTTTCCTTTTCTCTCTGTCTTTCTTCTTCCATCCATCCAATCTTTTTATCTCACTCTCTCCACCCTCTCCTTCCGCTCTTTCTCCATTCACCCTCGCTATATTCCATTCTCTTTCTTCCCTTCATGTATTGAATATATCTACGAAAGTGCATTATTATCGTTCCATTCTCATATTGCCATTGGAAATGAATTTTGTGAATCCTTTTCTCGGTCATAACTCTAGTAATAATAAAAAAATGAATGGTTTGTATCAATGAAATACCGCTGCTTCGCTCCCTTATTCATCCTCTCTGCAATATGACCAAAGCTCTCTTCAAATATTGACAATCACTTACAACAGCATGGGAATGAACCCTGGAAGAGTGCATATTAAGAAATGTGTCATCACCATCTAAACACACATACAAACACACACACACTAGGAAGGTATAGCCAATAATAGCCCTCGGAGATATTAATAACACAAGCACCGTGATCCGCATACTCTGTATACACCGTGTGCTAGGAATATGCAGAGGCATTTCATGTTTCATCACAAACGATGATCCTTTATGGTAAGAACAAAAAGTTGAGACCAAGTTTTGAGCATGATGCATTAAACACTACTTCATGTTTCTAAAGTTTGCCAAGCTCAGTTATCATAAAGCACGACCTAAGAGAGGTCTCGTGGTCTAATAGGTGAGTTGAATGGTAGATCACAAGGTTCGAATCCCTCTTACGATCCCAACGTCTATTGTCAAGAAATTAACCTACATTTGCCTCTCTCGACTCAAGTGAAGTAAATGGGTATGCAACAGGAAGAAATTCTTCAAATGGTTGAAGGCGTCATCATGGTAGCTCGGCTAAAGCTGGGACTAATGATAGAATGCATTGTGAAGCGCAGTAGAAAAGGGTATATTTGCATATTAGTTGCGCTATACGTAATTATAAATGGGCATCTAAAATGTTTACTGATCTATTTTGGGCCAAACGAGGTTGCGTAAAAGACCTTCACCTTGCACAATTAATATCCGTCATTACGATGGACGTTTAGGCGAGGTGGTGACCAGTTACTGATACAAACATGTTGCTCACGATGTATTATCCAAATCTGTCGATGGCGTTGTAATATTTGAACATCATAACGAGAGATTGAAAGAGAAAGGAAGGTTTGAAGAGCTGATCATCAAGATATGATTGACATGCTTCCACTATACCCGACCCAAATACATAGCGGGACCTTGACCCCGTCAACCTTTGGCAGAAAATTCTTTCCATAAAGATCCATCTTTCATCGTATCGTATAATCATGACTGACATTGGTAGAAGATGACAAAACAAATAAAGATAGGCTCAACGACGGTGAGGCAATAGAACCTGTGGCACATCGCCCTGTTCTAAACAAATGCATGTACTATCTTCTGCTGCTGCTGCTGTGTTGCTGCTACTTTTGTGTTTTTTACTACCTCTACTACTACTACTACTACTACTACTACTACTACTACTACTACTACTACTACTACAAGTACTACTCCTACCTATATACTATACTCCTTCTACTTCTAAAAATAGGCCTACTACTGATACTACTAATACTTTTACTGCTGATTGTGGAAGTAATGGGGAAAAAGGTATTACAATTGGAAAGCAACATGCAAGCGCTGAAATATTACCTGAAGTGCATGTTCAAATGTAAACGAAAGGAATATCCTCAAAACTAAAACCAACGAGAAAGGAAGGCTAATTTAGCTCAGCTGAGCTTTTCAAGGATACATACATCCTCCTGCCAAAATACTATGTCATAATAAAGGCATGAGAAATAACATTGATACAGTGTCCTCTCGCAGCTTACAGCAACAACGTTAATTTCGAGAGAGAATATAAAATGAGAGATAATAAAAAAAAGAGAGAAATTGCTTTTTCTGCAAGTTCCAAAAGCAGAGAGTGAACGTCCAAAATGCTCGTGCAGGCTTAATTGAATACAGGCATGTGTGCATCGCAATGTTTACTCAAGCGAATTAATGAAGCCCAAAATGTGATTAAACCGTAATTACGAATTGAATTGCACTTTCGATTGGCGTGCTATACGTATCAATATACTCGTTATCTATTAAGTAATTGAATTGAGAGCTCCCTTATATAAAATGCATCTCATCTCATATAGCAAAAAAGATCGTTTGTTACTTACATGTAAATTTGAAGTTTTCATGGTGGCGATGTAAATATAAATAATTGAGTGAATAAAGTATCCCAATGTTCACAGGAAAAAAGTGTTATTCTGCTCCACAGTAACTGTCACCGCTCCGTCATCCGAAAAAAAATTCCTTAATATAATAGTCTTCTTTGATCAGGTGTAAACGATGTAGAAACAAGTCTCATAGTCCCTGATGTGTAGATAGTTACATCGAACAAGTGTATTAGCGATTTATCTGTCGAGGTGGGATATACAAGGTCCAGTGGTGTACCAGGTTTCTGACTCGCTAGAGATAGAAGAGTCCTTTTTTATAAAGTAGTTCGACGGACGTGCGACTGGCATCGCGAGAGACACGCTTACGTTGCTTTGTGTGTGTGTTGCCTATGATGACGTATTAACGCTCGCCGACTTGCTTCTATGATGACAGACGTGATGCCATTGGCCTACGCCAAACCCCGCCCACATCTCATTCACCTCCGCCAGCTGATGATTTACCCCAAAATTCCCCCTCCACTCCCTCGCCCCCTCCCTCGCCCCCCTCCCTCACTCAATATTCTCCCTTTCGCTGACTGCATGTATTTCTCTCCCCTTCCTATGTTTTCTACTATTTTTCGGCTGGTAGCTCTGACTCATGAACACTCAACACATAGACACCACATGATAGTCACACCATTCACTCCCCCAGGAGCCTGGGTAGAGTTAGGGTATTTCAGTCATTGTGCTTGTATACGTGCCAACTCGAAGGATTCACCCTTCCTTTCCCCCACAACAGTAGCAGCCGAACGGTGCACAAAGTTTATCTTTGGACTTGTACGTCACCTAAGAAACGAGACGAGACGAAGACAAGTCCTTGTAACCTTCGGGCTAATCTCCATCGTCCGAACTAGGGCTAGACTAGACGTCCAAGTTCAAAGAACTCAGATATTTTCTCACACCTGCCTTACACGCGCACACTCGCACACGCGCACACGCGCACACACACATACACACACACTCTCTCTCTCTATCTCTATTTTTCTTTTCTCCTCATCCTTTTTGTCTTTGTTTGTTTGATTTGATTTGATTTATTGATTAATGTTTGATTTTCTTTTTCTTTTGAACTTTTACAAATATATAACAAACAAAACATTGCAAATTTTACACAATCATGACAAAAGAAGATATGTAGAATAAAGTAAGACTGTCTGTAACTAATCTTTATTTTAAATAAATTTTCCGTTTCATACTTTCATTGTTATTTCCTTTCTTCTCGGGGTAGGCCTTTGTATTTGTAGACCTACACTTCTTTCTCTCTCTCTCTCTCTCTCTCTCTCTCTCTTTCTCTCTCTCTCACTCTGTTTCTATCTCTCTGTTTATCTCTCTCTCTCTTCCTCTCTCTCTCACTCTCTGTTTCTATCTCTCTCTCTCTCTCTCTCTCTCTCTTTCGCATACACACACACACACACACACACACTCTCCCATTCTCACATGACAGACACCTCTCGTTTTCACTTCCGGATGGACTCGAAATGTCACGGTACCTGTTTCCATATTTACATTTTGACGGTCACTATGGGAATATGAATGGAGGAAGTAGTAGAGCGATATACATGGTCGTAACGGTGTCATTGATTATTTGCTGTAAACCACAAATTGTAATTAAAATAAATGCATTTTTGGGAAGTAACATACGGCAAATCTTTGCTCCTACTAAACCTATCAACCTTCTAATTCCTGATATCTAAATCTTTAAATATTATTTGTTTGAGTTACCATTGATTTGTGTTCATGCGAAATCAAATTGGGCGTAATTATAAAAAGGTATCTTCCAAACTAAAAATAGCATGCTGATCAAAATAACCCAACTTTTACCTGTTTTTTTTCTGTGAAAAGCCATGATAATATTATTTGTACAAGGTTCACGACTAATATTCAATCGACTGAACATCTGGGCTCAACATCAGTTAAATCATTCAATGTCTGATATATCGATCATATTTTTCCTCCTCCATAAAACTGTTTCGTTAAAATCATATAATATCATATCATATTTATATTAATCAATCGATCTATCTCTCTTTATATTTCATCTTCTATCTATCTTCTTATTCCATCTTCTTTTTATCCTATCCAGCCGTTTTTTCGATCACTCTTTCTCTCCTTCGTTCTCCTTTTCTCTGACACACATCCTTCTTTTTGATCGTTTTCATTTTTGTTGTTCTTCTTTGTATACTCCATACGGTCATCATCGCCATGAAGATCGGTGGAAGCAAATGTCACGGTGACCATACTAGAGTAGTCTATTCGACTTGTCTCTTGGGAATAGAGTGTAGAGCACTTGTATAACACTTTCTTGATTCAATTTATATAAAAAGAAACTACCTACGTTTGCATAATGTAGCTCAAATATATGTATTTCTCGTCATGGTTAATTTATTCAAATTGCTAATTTTAAAATATTGATACCAAATTAACATTTTACGCTTTATATTTATATTTTTTTCATTTTCATATTTAGTCTTTCAAAACTGTTATTGTTCTTTTTCAATATTATCATTTTTTCTGATACAATTCTCTCATTATTGTTGTTAAAATTATCATTAAGATATGATCAGTATGACTATCAACTACTTATTATTTATGTAATCGATAAGTTAAAAATTCCCTCTGTTGTTATCATTTATAGTCTGTTCATATCAATCTTACGGTTGTTTTGATGACAAAATGGAGTTATCAATTTCCTGACGTGGTGAAATTTGCCATTGCAACATATATTTGGCTTTTACCACACGTTTGATATATTGGTTAAGCGCGGAAGAAATAGATACACGTCTTTATAGGAAACACAAGATTGTACAGTCAAAACATCTGAAACAATATTTTGGGCATTATATTTATAGAGAGAACGTGGAATAACATGTTGCAAATATTTCAGTATGTCGCGTATATTTAAAAGAAAATGAGGAAGGAAAATGAAAATAAAGATCGAATAACGGAACAAATACTACTGAAATCCTGAAATGAAATTCATTATGTTATGGTTTATTTATTACGCCATTAATGTGCTGGCCTATGTATAATAGACAATAATATCATTAATTCGGTTCCCTAAAATAAAGCAAAAAAGACAAAATGTGTACATTTACATCATCGTTTTGATTCCTTTGTTCATATCCAACGCTAGACATTTAAGTCACGTATTAACAATTATGATTTTTCCATGAACCATCCTTTCTTTATGCTTCACTCGAATCCACAAATCACCTGTCAGCTGACCGAGGTTTGAACCCGCAACCTGTCGGCCCAAATCGTCCACCCTAACCATAACTAGATGTCTATTACGGAAGAACATTACTTAATCCCCATCCTAACTAATCTCATATAGGGGAAAGAGACGAGTCCCCCCCAGCCCACGTGCGCCTCTATATCCACCTTATCTCATCAAATCTCGTTACACGTCTCGCTTCATTCTTCAGGTAGCACAGGCCTGGTTACACGACCATACCCCTAGGGGGTATCGTAGCCCCCCTCCTCAAGCCTACGTGTTTCTTCACTTCATCTTAGAATGACGCTCTCTCCGTTCTTGTGGTCAGACAGCTTTCAACGTTGATGTCGGCCTTAGCAACCATCATAACAAACTTGTAGTACAGAAAAGCCGTCATTTTGACCCAGATTTTTGGCGTATCCTTACTAACCTTTCGTTTCCACCGATCGTAATAATTTACTCTCGATATTACGATAATTCCATTTTGATGTCTAATGTTTTTCTACATGGTCTTTTAAAACCGTAAACTCTGCATGTTGGCAAAACAATTGCACATGTCGACATTAAACGATGAACCATTTTGATTATGTATTATCACAAAAATTAATACTTTCAGGATATAGAACCTGAAGAGGGCTATAAACTTAAGATGTATTCGCCTGAGACACAATCATTAACTCCTTTGCAACGAGCAATATCCGAGATGATTCCCTCATGAAATCCATGCAAACCTGAAATGGTTAAATCTTTACTGAGATAAAATGATTTTATAGATAAAGGAAAATAATTTACCCACGATATAAAGCTGAAAATGTTAACAGCATAATAATAACAGCAATAACACTGCTACTATTACTCTACTACTACTACTACTACTACTACTACTACTACTACTACTACTACTACTACTACCACCACTACTACTACTACTACTACTACTACTACTACTGCTTCTACTACTACTACTACTACTACTACTTATTCTTCTAGTAATAATTACTAGTGCTACTGTTGCTGGTGCTGCTACTTTTGATAATGATAGTAATGACGATGATAATAAGATGTGTTTTATTATTATTATTATTCTCGTATGTCTCCTTTATCTCGTTGATTACAGAATACCGAATACGGCCGAATGTAGGAAGCCTGTGCTGCAACAAAGATTCGATATCGGAATAGTTAACGAGAGTCTGATCATATATCTACTGAACCAATAAACCTTAAATATCCCAAATATTCTAAGACTATTTTCAAATGTCAAAAAACGAAATACCTTCAGCAGAAAAATAAGGAAAAAAACACCGATAACACAATAAATGCAAATTAAGCAAGACAGTTAAAACGTAATCAGGGTCAATATCTCACGCATGAATCTCAATGAGATTCGCTGAAAAGCAGCCATTAAAAGATCTCCTCCAGTCTTAGATGTCACCGTTTAACCTTTCCGTCTTGGGGGAACCTTGAGACGGAAAAGATTCTATATTTGGAGTCTGATGGATGCGGATAACACGGTGGTCAATGCGTGGGACTATGGCCATCGATGGTGGCCGCCCGCCTGCCATATGCCATCTAGCAGAAATCTGGTTAGGAGAATTCATATCTGGGGTCGATGACACGATCTAGCGTCAAGTTGGCATGGCATGGCTCAAATACGATGTTCAAACCATCAATATACAACTGCAGAAAGAAGAATTGGTATATTGACCCCTCTCGATTTTAAGACTGCAATGGCTTAGATAAGCATAACAACTCTTCTGTAGCATTGTCTATGAAGGATCCCAAATTTAAACCTGGACGAAGTGGCAAAAAAAAGCGATCAAGCTGTCAGTATAAACTTTTGCAAAGGTTGAATGATTCTAAACGTTTGGCTATGTAGGATGTTAAGTCCATACATATTGAGGCATACTATAAATTGTATAACATCGTTTCAAAAATCGATTTAACCCGCGATGTTGCAAAATAAGAACGCAGTAATGGATCTTGTCACCAAAATTGAAACATATTTTTAGAATA